GCCCTATTGATATTCAGTGTAACACAACCTTCCATTTTAGAATTATGATCCCTTTTCCGAATACCTTGTCAACACGATAGAGGCTATTTAAAGATGGGTTCCCGCGTACAAACTGGGTGATTTAATGGTACATATGGACTAAAAACATATTCAAACTAATTAATTTGTCATAATTTGTCTTCAAATCCTTCTCAAACATTGTAATTGCGAAGGAATGCCCTGCTATAAAAATTTGATCAAACCAGGTCATGTTTACGTCACGTGAACTACCTCTCTTGCATGTCAGAGGAGAATTCATTGCATACATAAAAGACGATGTTGTCTTTAATCGCTTACTATTTATTACAAATATCGAATCGTAATTAAATTCTCAGATTATCCACTACCCGCGTCTTTTTCCGTCATTTTTATACGCCCACATTGAAATGTGGTCGTATATTGTCGTCGCCCCCGTCCGTCTGTCCGGCGTCCACAATTGGTTGTGGACGCTCTAGAGACCAAAGTTAATATCCGATAATTACTGCCAGAGTTATGGCCCTTGATCACTTCAAAAAATCTTGTGGACGCTCTAGAAGCCAAAGTTAATATCCGATTGACCTTAAATTTATACACAGTGTTTAAGGTCTAGAGACAAAGAAGCCTATTGATTTTCAGCGATTTCCGATAATTACTGCCAGTGTTATGGCCCTTGATCACTTCACAAAATCTTGTGGACGCTCTAGAAGCCAAAGTTAATATCTGATTGACCTTAAATTTATACACAGTGTTTAAGGTCATGAGACGAAGAAGGCTATTGATTTTCAGCGATTTCCGATAATTACTGCCAGAGTTATGGCCCTTGATCACTTTGAAAAATCTTGTGGACGCTCTAGAGGCCAAAGTTTATATCCAATTGACTTTAAATTTATACACAGTGTTTAAGGTCTAGAGACGAAGAAGCCTATTGATTTTCAGCGATTTCCGATAATTACTGCCAGTGTTATGGCCCTTGATCACTTCACAAAATCTTGTGGACGCTCTAGAAGCCAAAGTTAATATCTGATTGACCTTAAATTTATACACAGTGTTTAAGGTCATGAGACGAAGAAGGCTATTGATTTTCAGCGATTTCCAATAATTACTGCCAGGGTTATGGCCCTTGATCACTTTGAAAAATCTTGTGGACACTCTAGAGGCCAAAGTTTATATCCAATTGACTTTAAATTTATACACAGTGTTTAAGGTCATGAGACGAAGATACCTATTGATTTTCAACGATTTCCGATAATTACTGCCAGAGTTATGGCCCTTGATCACTTTGAAAAATCTTGTGGACACTCTAGAGGCCAAAGTTTATATCCAATTGACTTTAAATTTATACACAGTGTTTAAGGTCATGAGACGAAGATACCTATTGATTTTCAACGATTTCCGATAATTACTGCCAGAGTTATGGCCCTTGATCACTTCAAAAAATCTTGTGGACGCTCTAGAGGCTAAAGTTAATATTCAATTGACTTTAAATTTATACACAGTGTTTGAGGTTCTAGAGACGAAGAAGCCTATTGATTTTCAGCGATTTCCGATAATTACTGCCAGTGTTATGGCCCTTGATCACTTCACAAAATCTTGTGGACGCTCTAGAAGCCAAAGTTAATATCTGATTGACCTTAAATTTATACACAGTGTTTAAGGTCATGAGACGAAGAAGGCTATTGATTTTCAGCAATTTCCAATAATTACTGCCAGGGTTATGGCCCTTGATCACTTTGAAAAATCTTGTGGACACTCTAGAGGCCAAAGTTTATATCCAATTGACTTTAAATTTATACACAGTGTTTAAGGTCATGAGACGAAGATACCTATTGATTTTCAACGATTTCCGATAATTACTGCCAGAGTTATGGCCCTTGATCACTTCAAAAAATCTTGTGGACGCTCTAGAGGCTAAAGTTAATATTCAATTGACTTTAAATTTATACACAGTGTTTGAGGTTATGAGACGAAGAATCCTATTGATTTTCGGCGATTTCTGATAATTACTGCCAGAGTTATGGCCCTTGATCACTTTGAAAAATCTTGTGAACGCTCTAGAGGGCAACGTTAATATCCGATTGACTTTAAATTTATACACAGTGTTTAAGGTCACGAGACGAAGAAGCCTATTGGTTTTCAGCGATTTCCAATAATTACTGCCAGTGTTATGGCCCTTGATTTTCAACAATTTCCGCTCTAAAGGCTAAAGTTATCATCCGATTGACTTCAGGTTGATACACAGAGTTTAAGATCTTTAGACGAACAAGTATATTGATTTTCAATAAGTTTTTATGACTTAAACAGCTAAATCCATGATATTAAAAGTTTTGTATACAAAACGTTAGCATTTGGCAGAACTTTATAAAAACCAAACAAATTCTTATGGTTTTCTGATAATTACTTCATGAGTTGTTGCTCTTAATCAGATTTTAGTGTATTATAAATGTTTCATTACCGAAAAAAGTAAGAATATGCGACAACTCTTGTTGAGTGCCCGGACGATTTAGCTGCTGTGAGCGTATGTTTTGTTGCCTGCCAACCTATCTTTATCTCAGAAAGTGTTGTCTGTCTAACTCTTCATAAAGTTTATCAACTTGTACATCAAGTGCTCAATGTTTGCGTGTGACCATGACATCATGCATGCAGAAATTTTTAATCATCAGGCTATCGATTAGGGGAACCCTTACAATTTTGTCCTGTATACGCTCCATGAGAGTTTTTCGGGGAATCCAGTGTTTTTCTAGTAAGATTGGATATCTCCATATATATACCAAAATTAATATACTTTTATTGGAAATAACCACCCAATAAATACTTTTACATTGTACACATCATGTCTTATTAACTAAAGTACAAAATATCGGACAGGCCTAATCCTGGCCTAATTTTTCACCCTTGTTAAATAAAGTTATTACCGGTACTATTATCATCTGTATTATCCAACATTCATATAAGATTTTTCTTTTGCGCACTAGTTAGGGTCATGTATGCTTCTCTTTTATTTCCACCATAAAGAATTACTGGTATTCCTATTAAGACTGACTGACTGAAGTTGGTTCTTTAACATCTGCTTCCACTGAAGTGATATCACAGATAATAATAAGAAGAATAATAGTCTGTTCTTATATAGCGCATTGTAAAACATAACAATTTACACGGTAAAAAGTATGGCACTTTTTCAACACGCTTTACAAAATATAAAATTTAAATTATGTAAATTCAAACAATGTTTTATTCAAATAAGATAGATATTGTATACATACACTGTCAAAAGGTAAGGATTCAAAAACATTATTTAATAAATATACTACAAGCTGGGTTGTCCGTTAAGTGCATAGCGAATTTATGGTAGTTTAAGTTGCTTTTATTGTGAAACAGTTTTGTATGGATTTAAATTATGTTGTGTTACAGATAATAAAACTACATAAGAGAAGAGAAAACTTCAGTAAAACTGCAATAAGATATGAGCTTTACAAAATATAAAAATTAAAATAAGATTGTTACAGATAATAAAACTACAGAGGAAACTTCAGTAAAACTGTAATAAGATGTAAAAGAGTAACTATAAAAATATGACGAGATAAAGTTTAACATCCGAAATGGCAGCGGACAAGACTTAGGAGAGCCGAAGCTTCTTTCTTCCTGTTTTTTAGAATATGATTTTTCGATCTTTCCATTTACGGCCTTAGGCCACAGGTATATTAAGACTGGCGCAATCTACACTGTTTGAGAATATGTGTGCAACAGAATTCCCATGTTATAAACAAGTGTTGTTTATTATTCTTTGATTCATTGTTAATTGGATGTTGATGTAAGTGTTATCTCATACAGTATAAGCTTAGTAGATTAATATCTAGCTTCTACTAATGTATAAATTGTAGAAAATCTCTGACATTTCAATCACAGATTAAATATTGATTTATCTTTAAAAACAGAAGGGGTGTATGTGACCAGTAAAACAAAAGAACAAAGTAATTAAAGAAAGGAATGGTTCACAACCAAGCTTTCTTAAGACTTAAGCTACTGATTGGCTTTTTTATAGCTGAATAGAGGTGTCATTCATTTCCTTAATACCCCATTTAACACTCTGCTACCCACTGATACTTCTGTGAGAAAGACGAAAAAGAGAGTCAAATTTCTCTCTCCTCATTGGTCTTTATTGTGGTATCAATCGACTGTGGTCTCTTTGTGTTTTTTCTGGCCTTAGGCTTTTAATTGTTGACTGATTACATCATGTTACATAACCAAAGTAAAGACTTTATTGGTTCTAATAGTTGGTCATTTGAACTATTACAAGTGATGTTCATGTTGTGGTCAGTGGTTGGCTTGTAGAGAAATACACTGTAGGAAGGAATTTAATTACTGTTCATATTCTACAAGTTTGGAAAGTATATGAACCATCAAAATGTAAGAATATTTTATTTTTAAGTTGGAAGAATAATAAGAACATAAAGTTACATGGTTATTGCTCATTCTGAAACAGATGAAATATTTAGAAAAGATGAGCGCCTCGCCTCAATTTTGGATGTGCTCTCAACCATATCAATGAATTGCCAAACTCGAAAATGGTGGTTACATTTGAATTTTTTAATGGATGGATTTGATATTTCTCCTTGTTGGATATTGCCTAAAAATTAATTATTGTGCAATTTCAAAAATGATATTGAAACAACATTAATTGAAAAGGGGAATCTGATACTATGAAAATCCAGATGGGTGACCTATTTAAATTCAGCCATGTTAGTTGTTTGAAGATTGAATTTTAAATCTGTAACTAAACATCCATTGATAACACAGCATTTAATTTTGAAAATAAGATCTTAGTACCTTTTCTTGATTATGAACATAATTATCGACTTATGTATATTAATTTTTTTTTTATTAGCTTTTTCTTTCTTACTTAATAAGTGATTGATATTTTCTGATATTAATTAGTATATAACATGATTCTGAATATCAACTAAATAAATCACTTTATATTTTAGGATTCCTGAAGTAAAGGAAAAAAGAAGCAACAGACGCCTATCCTTAAATTCTGCTTTTGAGCTGCCATTTGTAAGTTTTCATGATTTTATAATTTCCATTATGAAATATATCTTTTATAAATGTTTATCTTTTTACCCATTTTTGAAATTTTAATTGTTTTTTTTTCAAAAAATTGTTTTACAGACATCAAAAAGAAAACGGAAAACCGATGAAGATTCATTAAGTGTACAGAGTTACGATGTTGGTGCTACTCTTAAGGTATATTTCAGTTCTATTGTAGTTATAAGCTTGTTAAAATTGTTAATCCAAATGATTAAGCTTATATCTTAATTTGAAATATTCTCGTGGGATATACAAATTATATCACAAACAGACACAGTGCAGTAATTTATTTCATTAAAAATATTTACATGTTTCACAGATATGCTAATTTGATTTTAGCTACTGGCCATAGTAGATAAAAAATCAATTATTTTTTATGGTTGTGATTAGCATTGACATTGTGTCCATTCTTTAGTGTTAAAAATCTATAATATGTCTGGGTGAGGTGGTTTGTTTTGACAATTTCTGCAGTGACAGTTGTCTCTAGGTGACAGTCCAAATATTTGGTGCTTAATCATAGAACCAATATGTAATTGTGATGCATGACTTTCTAAAAAAATATGGTACCTGTAGTTAGTTACCTGGTCTGTTATTAGTAAATAACGACCATGGTTACAATTATACATGTGCTGACTCCAAATTACATCTACACAGATTCTCTGATAGACAGACACAGACAGGAAAATGTCCAGAGAAAATGATGAATTTTATCAAGTTATTTGTGAATGTGGAACTTGTATTTTAAACAATTTTGATCACATAAACTTTCCATTTTATTATAAAAAAGGGGTATGTTACATGATTTTTTTTTAAGTCATATATTTACTTATGACAAATTACATAAGTGTCTCAGTGCACAGGGTAATAAAATGGTGTATTTTTACATTTAAGATGTGAACATCTTTTTCAGAAAAAGACAAGACGATCATTACTACGGGTATCATCATTAGTTAATCTACTGTCACCCAGTAAATCTTCTAAGGTAATTTCATTGAAATGGGAGCTACTTAAGTGGATATGACATTTATTGACACTCTAAAAGATAATTGTCCATAGCACTGAACAATGTAATAACTACTACTTGACCTGATCATTAACAATTGTAATATAATTTGAATGATTACTCTTTTTTTTAAGCAAAAAACCCCCTCCAAAACACCTGTGGTAATAGATCCACTTTACAATTTATTGGGTCATTCCATGTGAAGTGGGCCAAGGGTGGGAAATCGATGCATTTGAAAATGTCTGGAAAAAAGATAATGTTATTGTATATGTAGAAACTAGAAACAGCAAAATTTGTGGACTGTAGCTTGAAATTTGACTAAGATACAGGCATTTGAGTTTTATGAGTTACCGATTAGTTTTCGAAACAAAATGTATATCAATAATTTTCTCAAGTTTCATATGTCTTGTTTTTAGGTTTCTAGTGAAGATATATAGGACTCAAATTTGGCTGTCTTAAAGAACGGTTTAAACACAGATTTTGAAAAAATCGAAAATATCGAGATGGCATGGGACAAGAATGGTTATAACATATGTTAGAGACATTAGTACGAATTATAATTCCAACAAGTTTCATATATTTAGGTGCCCATCTACGGGGTTCAATCAGCTCGAACATATGAGACAATTTCGAAAATTTGTGTCGGAAACCATATTCAAGACCAATTTTCTGGGAATCTGGTGAAGACTGATGTGTATTCATATGTTTCTTATGTAGTACTACCGACAATCTCAATTTGGGTCTATATCTATTACTTTGTAGGTCCTGGAGCACTACAAAATCCAGAAAATATACAATTACCCCAAATTTTGTCGGTTTTTAATGGCCAAGTAGCATGCGAACCCTACCGCTCACCTGTAATCTGATTGCAGAATTGTAATCTACACAAAAAGTTCTTTAAGATTGGAGCACTACAAAATCAGTAAAAATTCAATTACCGGTACACGAAATTTCGTTTTTTAGTTTTCATGGCAAAGTAGCATGCAAACCCTACCACTCACCTGTAATCTGATTGCAGATTTGTAATCTACACAAAAAGTTCTTTAAGACTGGCAAATTTGAGCCAAATCTTCACTAGAAAGGTAAAAACAAGATATCTGAAAATCGAGAAAATTGAATGTATTTATATATATATATATATTGTTTTGAAAACTTATTGGTAAGTCATAAAACTCAAATTCCTGAATCCCTGTCAATTTTCAAGGTACAGTCCACAAATTTTGCACAGTTTCTACATGTACAATAACACATTTTTTCCATATTTTTTCGAGGGGGTCGATTTCCCAACTTCTGCAAATTGATCCACTTGTCATGGGAATGACCCTACTGTATACATGTATTTAGGGAATTACTGTTAATGAGTCAACTTAAGTATGTTAATTCTTACATTTCTATGCACCCAGTCCACATTTCTATGTGGTCATAGATCTATTGTATGTTGTCGTGAACACTCTACCGACTACATTATTTTTCGATCATCTAGAAATCTATTTATGTTTGCATTTGTGAGAAGAATCCTATTTGATTTCAACAATTTCTGTTAATTTTAGCTAGAGTTATGGCCCTTGTTTCACTTTGCAAAACTTGTGAACCCTCGAATAACAAAAGTTATCGTCCAATCTGTATGAAATTGCATGTATATGCATTATTTAAATTAGTAAAACAGAATCCTATTGCATTTCAACATTTCTGGAGTTATAGCCCTTGTTTCACTTTGTTGAACCCTGTCAACACTCGAATGATAAAGGTTATCATATCTGCATGAAATTTATAAGCATTATTCAATTTTAGTGATTTAAAGACACATTGTGAATGCTCTAACAACAACAGTTATCGACTGATCGATGTGCTGAATGAAATCTATATGCATTATTTAAATTAATAAAGCGAAGAAGCCTTGTAATTTCCACTTTCCCTAAATTACTGCTAATATTCTGACCCTGTCTGAACTGTCTTGTAAATGCTCCCATTATCTACATAAGAATGAATATGTGACAACCCTTGTTGATGGGTCAAACGATTCAGTTGCAGTGGGAATGTTTCGTTGCCTGGCAACCTATCTTTAGAATAGTTTTCCTCATTAATTTCACTATTTTTAGACAAGAAGTAGAACACCATTTAAAGTACCATGTTCACCACGACCAGTTGTTTCTCCATACAAGGCACCACTTCCATCAGCTGGTAAAAAACGTCTAGGTAAAACATGGTCTGATATGATGACTACAGATGGTAGAAATCCTAGTAAATTCTCTCATAATGATATTAAAAAACAAGAGGTTAGTAGTACCAGTACTTCATTATCATGGCTGATGAAACGGTCTGTCATTTTGTCTGAGGGAAAATTTATGGGAGATTGTCTTTTGCCATATTCAGAAAATAAAAGTACAGTAGACTACTTAAAGGAGCTAAGTCGCTAATATTTGGGACCTAGAAATTGACACAAATGGGTCGCAACGCATACAATAATGTAATATGAATGTATATAAATTGATTTACATTCATTCGTTTCTTTTTTACTGTAATGTCTAATAGTTAGGTTCGGCGACATACGCCAGTATTCTCAATCGGATTTCAATCTCTAGCTTCTGGTTATTCCAGTCTACGCTGATAGTATTTATTGAGCATTCTCTCCAGATAAGAATATAGCGTCACCATTTGACATGACTTGTGGAATATGCCTAGCCTCGTTTTTCGAGTCCCTTATAACAAATAGCACTGAAACGCATTATGGTACACGATTCGTGTACCAATTGTAAAATGTTTATTTTGTCTTAAATATTGGATATCAGAAGGCCATCTTTTCCTGGTAAGATCACAACATCAATGTTGATTTAAACCGTCAAATAAATTGTGTTTTCAATGTCGAAGATTTTGGATGATATTTAGTTAGAGACTTAGCTACTTTAACATAAAGTTCAAACTTTACTTGCTAAAGACATAACTGAACAAAACCACGAACAACCAAATATCGGCAGCGCCATGCCTGTCTAGAAATCAGAAATTTTTGATGTACAGTTCAACAATATCTCGAAGACTGGCGTAGTAAATTTATCCTAAGTGCGAATACTAAATTTAATCGAGTCCGGTCATATATATTCAAAAGAATACCAGATAAAACAAACATTGCTCCCAAATTAATATACAATATCACGTTTTTTAGAAATAAGATATTTGCTCAATAAATCCAATGCCGGTAGCCCTCAGTCGATGAGCTGTTCAGTGTGAATGGCGTAATTTGGTTGTTTGTATTTCAACATAGCATAGAACCTTTTATTACAAATTTTGATGAAGAGTATTACTGCATATTTACACAAGTAGTCTTCCCGTTAATTACTTACATGTTTGTAACCTATAGTAAAATTGTTATCAGACCCCAAAATTCCATATTATATTATTATTCTGATGTATTTTAGGGCGTAGTAATATCTGCATGCTTTCAAGGTAACATATGTATATGTAACCGGGTCTATTACACTGAAAAGACGAGATTGTTTGAATCTTTATTAAAAACCCAGTAAAATATACATACATAGAATTAATTTATAACACATACAATACACTTTAAAATAAATGCATCATTACACTGTATTATATTATTATATTACATCACTAGTACTTAATTCTATACTTTCTATGTATAACTTTACAGTAATAATTGCTATTGTATATCTAAATATTAGATAATATCTATATAAAAATAATATACCATGAAAGGGTTTTTAAAGATATGTGTTTATAAAACAATACCATATACCTGTATAAACAAATGATTCTATGATTATTGTCCCCCGCCTTTCGAAGAAAGCAGGGGGTTATTAAAATGAGTCTGTCTGTTTGTTCCTCACACTTTTTGGGACACAATAACTCTCCTTCTAATTGAGCTTGGATGTTCAAACTTGGTGTAGGTGTTGATTAGGTTAATGCCTTGATGTTGTTCTTTGATGAACATTGTCTTCTTACGGTAAGCACAGATAAGCAATTTGATTGGTTGATGCCTTCGGGCACGATAACTTTAGTTTTAATTAAGTGATAGTGATGAAACTCCGAGTATAGATTCATTATACCATTACCTGGACTAAGGTTGATGATGAGAATTTTCTACTTAGGCTAAGGAGCGATAAACAATTTGATAGATCAAGACTTTGGAACATAACTTTGCTTTTAATTGAGGTAGAATGTTTAACTTCGTTGTAGATGTTCATTAGGTGAATGTGTTGACATTAACATTTCCTGCTAAAGCTAAGTTGAGCTAAGCAATTTCATTGGTCGATGCTTTGGGACAATTATATAACTTTGATTCTATCTGATAGAGAGTTATAAAACTTAGTGTATAGTTGATAATCAGTGTGATTGCTCGATACTTTTGAAAAAGATAAAATGTGAAATTAATTAATGTGTCATCTATTTATTTTGGTATTTCGGCGGGTGACATCCAAATACAATGATATTCAAATACACATACCTTAATTTATCAATGAAGACTTGACCAAAAGTATCCTCCGTAACTAAAATAACTTATAAACTTTGAGCACAAAATACAACTTTAAGATTTAGAAGATAATCTTATGCATCCGACACCTTCATAATCCTAAATTAGACCGATATAGATTGTTACACCTGTAACCCAGGGTTTGTTGGTAAAAATATATCCAAGGAGATGATGAGATGATAGTCACTGATGTTGTTACAAAGACCTGTCCAGAAGGGTTCAACGATCAGATGAAAGTGAAAGTTTGTTATTGTTTATTATGCTGCTGTCTGTGAAGTGCAGTGTAGACTAAAACCTATTATATAATTAAAACACCAAAATTCCACACTGTCCCATATAGATTACGTAGCCACTACAGTTTATAACTGGGATTTATATTTTAAGATCTGCAAGGTCAAAATAAAATGAGACATTGGTCAAGCTTTGTATCTGGTAATCTACATCATACTTTATTGATGAATAACACAACAAACAAATAGGTTCCCAAAAGATGGTCATATTTTTTACCCTTTATAGAAAAGATGGGAAATTGTCATGTGATAGGCCAACATTGTCAAAGATAGGTGCCGGTAATTAGGGATATATATTGTAATGAACATTATAGTCATAATCTCAATCATACATGTACTTTATTAATTAATCATACAACAAATAATTAAGTTCTCAACCAAAGATTGCATCACTTAATTGTATAGTTGTAAATATTTGTTTAGACAATATGTACATAACCATGAGAGAACTGTCAGTGAACACTGCAATTAATTACACCTTAGTGAATGATATCCATAAAGCTGTCTCTATTATAAATACATAAAGTACAACATAATATTTATTATTATTAGAATACTGTTCTTTATTTCTATTTATAATGTTTTATATGATTTAATATTCATATAAATGTGAACTTTCAGCCTATTTTTTTACAAATTAAGTTAGCTTTGGATGTATTGTTGTAAGTCATTATATTTGTATGTATATTACATTTATTATAGGCGATATATGAACTCTGTCAAGGTGAACAAGATATGATAGATGATTTAAATATTGTACAAAAGGTGAGTAGTTTTTGTAAATCTTGTATATCAACTCTGTCAAGGTGAACAAGATATCATAGATGATTTAAATATTGTACAAATCAACTATTAAATTCAATTCATTATTTTGAATAAGAAAAAATATTCAAAACCAACTTGTTTTTATTCATTTATTTTATAAATAGTAAAGAATGAAGATGTTTTCAAGAGAATGTTCTAGTAATTAATTATTCTTTTTGTTTCAGACATATCATGATTCTATGCAGAAGTTACAGCTAATGTCACATGGTGAATTAAAACAGATATTTGGACCAATTGAATCACTTCTACCAGTACACAGGGGTAAGTTTATATTTTTTATGATCAATTCTACAAATTATGACAAATCTGTTACTCTGTATTTTGTATTATATGTTCACATTAATATTTAATTTCAAGAATAACATAACATCATCATTACAAGGAATATTTTATTTTTAGAATTATCTGATTTAATGTTTCTTAAAGAATAGTATGACATTAAATATTGAATTCTATATTTAGAATTATCAGAAAGATTACTGAGTAAACGTCAAGCTGATGGTACAACTCAAGAAGTTGGAAGACAGTTATTAGAATGGGTAAGAACAACATCTCCTGTAATTAAATGGCCACCTGTTTATTGAGATGAGATGTTATTTGAAGATATAAATGAAATATCAGTAATAATTTTGTAATGATAAATATTTTAGATTATTATCATAAGTTTTAGTAATCAGTTAGACTTAATTGTCTTGAACCATGTATGTCAAGGGCCCGCTCTGGCAGCTCGCCAATTCGCCAGTGACGAAAAATTCAATAAGAGAAATATTATCCAGACGCATAACTTGTACATAACATAGAACAGTTGCCAACTTGATAATCAATGGTCAACAGTGGGGCCGGTGGAGTTGGTTTCTATGACATCAGCGTCCTGCTCAACACCGCGTGCAGTGGGGTAACTAGAAATTGTTAACACAAGATGTTTAATTATCCTACTGTCATTTTGACGAGAATTCGGCAGAATATTACGAAATACTTTCCAAATTTTATGAATTTATTTGATTCTCCCAAATCATAATTCAAATTGCGATTATTTTAAATATAATCACGATATATCGTGATGCAGTGATTATTGAGAAAGGAGGTGATCATTTAATCGCCTGACCCAATAGTTGTATTTTTTTTTTTGGCTAACATGCTTGATATTTGGCTAGGAGTTTGGCTAATGAACCCTTTTTTCCAGAGCGGGCCCTGTATGTCTTCTCATTGACACTGTCATACAATATTTATTTCTATTTGTTCTGTAAATGTTTGTCATAACAAGAAGCCAATGCAGTAGCGATATTATCTATAATTATCTTTAATTTAATTATATTGGAATGGAAATATTTTTTCTTACATTGAATGTATTTTACTATACTTACAGCTACCATTATTAAAGTGCTATATACCATTTTGTTCTAATCAAGTTTTTGGTAAAGCTTTATTTGATGAGAAAAAGAATGACCCAGCAGTTGTAGATTTTTTACAACGGTGTCAGGACTCTCCATTCAGCAGAAAACTCGACTTATGGAGTCTTTTAGGTAAGAATGGAGTAATGTGGCTGACAAGAAACGATTAACATCTTTTATATTTATCACTGTCCTCAGACAGTGGTTTACTACGTGTGTGTGAAATCACAAGGTCTGTCATTCCGCCTAGTGGCTTGGTTTTCGATTTCCCACTTGAACGTGACAAGGAGTAGGGTCGCCTGTCCAACCTTATGGGTTTTCTCCGGTTTCCTCCCGCTGCTAAAGACCCCTGGACGCAAGCGAATTATTGAAATAAAATTCAACCATACGTTAGTCCCAAAGTTACCTCGAGTTGACATTAATTAAACCCCATTTCTGTCTCTCTGTTCTCAGACAATCCTTATACAATTCTTAATAAGAAAAACTAAAACTAAATAAGATTTGAAATAACGGGTTGGATGGCTGAAGGGTTAGCGTGCGCGCGCTGTATCATAAAGTCTGTCATTGAGTCGACTGGCGTGGTTTCAAATCCCCGGTTGTACATGGCAAGGAGTAGGGTCACCTGTCCAACCTTGTGGGTTTTCTCCGGGTCCTCCGGTTTCCTCCCACTGCTAAAGACCCCTACGTGCAAGCGAATTATTGAAATAAAATTAAACCATATGTTAGTCCCGAAATGACCTAGTTTGTGTCGAGTGGATGTTAAACCCCATTTCTCTCTCTCTCTGTTTTCATATCCACCTGTTTTTATTTGACAATCATTCTGTGGTGTCGATACTCAGATACTCATTGTCAAGGCATGGATTTTGCTGTTGATTTAAATTGAAGTCTGCTTCCTCAATCTTCCCACGGAGAATACTTTCAGTCATCTTTCTAACACTCATAGTTCTCGAGAAAGATAAAATGGTCCATTGGAGAGGACATTTTGATCGTAAATAAAGATGGGCCACCATCATTGTGGAATTACAAATTAACAATCGATTATCCAGTGCTGTTCGTGATTATTAATAGTGTTTCCCATAGTTACACACTTGATATAGCTGAGTCTAGTGTTCAGTTCCTCTTTTCAAGAAATGTTTAATAGAGTTACTTCCCATGATCGTGGAAAATATGAATGCCCAGAAATTATTGACTTTGAAATTTTGTTTTTATTATTATTTTTGATGACGCAGCGGTATTTTGTGTGGCCGTAGATCTGTATTTTGTTAGAAACTCTCCTCTTGTGGAAAGGGATTAGCCAATTGACTGTATATAATATGAACATGCTCCCTGTATCTAAGTATGTCCAATACAATTTTTATGTACTTTAGGAATTACCAAAGACAAGTAATATAGTTGGTAATGTGTAATATAAATTGCGGTACCGTAGGAATTGAATATCATTAAGTGTGAATGTGACAAATATAAATTTATTCCAAATTCAAAATCCAATCTAAATTAAAAAAATTGTTTTTCAAGTACAGATTATAAATTTATCTTTTACAGATGGTGTACGTTCAAAGTTTATGAAATATCCCCTTTTGATAAAAAGTATACAAAAATATGTAAGTACAAAGCTCACCTTGATTTGATATTGTATTTCTAAAAATTGAAATCCACTTTCATTATTCTAATAATAATGGGGGGTTGGATGGCCGAATGGTTAGCATGTGCGCGCTGTATCATAAAGCCTGTCATTGAGTCAACTGGCGTGGTTTCGAATCCTCGGTTGTATGTGACAAGGAGTAGGGTCGCCTGTCCAATCTTGTGGGTTTTCTCAGGTTTCCTCCCACTGCTAAAGACCCCTACGCGCAAGCAAATTATTGAAATAAAATTAAACCCTATGTAAGTCCCGAAATGACCTAGTTTGTGTCAAGTGGACGTTAAACCCCATTTCTCTCTCTCTATCTAATAATAATAATAAAAACTTCATGTCATTGTATATACTGGAACTAGAATAATTTTTTTTTTTTTTTATGTAATTAATTTTATATAAATTGTTTAGAACTGTGTTTTGTTATTTTTCTAGACTGATCCAAAGGATGTTGATTATCAGTATCTAACAGAATCGGTAAGTTGACTAATTCATCATGTCTAGTAAATAAAATATAGACCAATATTTCTATTTAGTTCCATCTTGGTTATGTCATTGATCAACCAGAAATATATTATAGAATGGATTATTTTTTGTTAATAGATTAAACTTATAGAGAGTGTGGTAGCAAGTGCTGATAAAAGTACAGGAGAAGCTAAATGTTGTCTATATAAAGCCAGAATATCATATATATATGATGATCAGGTATAAAAACTTTTATTATCAACATGTATTAAATATGTCATAAAATTAAAGTGGCATAAATCATATTCAAAACATTGAAACTCACCTTAATTATTGTAAATACAATCACTGAGTTACTTAAAACTCTTTTAAAACTAAAGTTGCAGCCTGCTATAATGTGTACAACTCATAATAAATCGTAAACCATGATTGAGATTGGTCCCACATTTAGCATACAATTTTGAATACAGCCAATGCAACTGTGTTGTCAAATTATAGTCAGTTGAGAATTATTTTTTGGTGAAGGACTGTTTAAAGGACTAATGCCTCTCCTTATGTGAGCTTATCAGAGGTGTGATCTATCAAATTAACACCCATAATAGCATCATGGACTTAATTAAAGTGAATTAAATCGGTAATAATGTCATATCAACTTTTATTTTATGGAGGATTGTAAATTCTATAATGCAAATTTTAAATATTTTTTTTTAGAAACACAGTTATATTGAAGATTCAACTAATTTAGTTTGTAATGGTATACTACGTAACAATAAAGGAAGTGTAAGTCATCAGATATTATAGGTTTAAAAATACAACTATATATAATCAGTAGGTCTATATTTAAACAACTAGGCAGATTGATTTGACATATACCGTTATATGTCTTTTTAATAGATTCATGTCTTGTCTATCAAAAATCACAAGGACTACTATTAATTTATAGACAGACATTCTATTTTAATTGCTCTAAATATATTAATAGTTATCAGTGGTCACCTCTTCTAGTAGACAGATGATTAAAACAGGCTTTAATGTTATCAAAAAAACTATTGTGCTTCATCTATTAGCCATATTGATGAGTAGTCACTTGAGGCTAAGGCTGGGAATCGATATGAAATTTCAATATCGATTATCGGCAAGAATTTGTCAGCGATTATCGATAATCGGATATCATTCTTCCGGAAAAACCAAACTTTACCGACCTGTTATTTGTGTTGATCGAGTTACAGTAGTGTTAATATCCTAGTCTAATACTGTGCCGATGTATGTAAAAAAATCAATTAATGTAAAATAATTAGTTGCTAAATGTAGGATTAACTTGAGTATTATTCTAAGTTTTGTTCTTGATTCATTTGAACCTTTTTTTATTCCAATATCTCCGATAAATACAAAGACAATACATGGTTTCTCTTTGCAAGTTACTGGCGATCACACAGTGTTACTAATAATAGAATAAAATATAATAGAAGGCGTCTATTGATTGGACAATAAAAAATAATTACTGGCTTTCAAAGTAGAATTTTTATGATTGGTTAATTTTGACGAAAACCAAAGTAGAATTCTTCCAAGAAATTACGAGAGATATAGATATTTTCCCGGGAAGTCAAAAACGTGTTTTGTATGGGCTGTATCTGACATGATTTAGTAATAAAAGCTGAGTTGATCATTAATAATACAATTAGTTTTATCGTGAAAGCAGACAATTTCTCTACAAATCAATCAAGAACAAAGAAGGGAGATAATTCTAATTTTACTATATCACGTGCGATCGTCATTGTTCACAAAGTGCGTGACCTATTTTATTTTCAACTAGTAATAACAACAAAAACAACGAAAATATTAAAATAATGTATTTAATCTTAAAGTTTAGTTTTTTTACAATAATATATATTTAAAATGTGCCAGTTTGTAAGCAGAGGGGGAAAATAGTTGTTGTGTTGACGTTGTGTATTCGTTCATTTGTCTGCATCCCAGACTACGGCAAGTTCAGTCATGTGAAAGTGACCGTAACTTGACGTCAGAAGGTAAATATACCGATAATCGATATTTGAATTTCAATATCGATTATCGTATCGCTAAATAACTTCTACAGATTATCGATTATATCGATATTTTTGCACAGCCTTACTTGAGGCTGTGACAGATAAAGTTCTGTTCTATTAGTGGTGTAACTAATCCATTATGAAGCAATAACCTTAATATGTCACCAATAAAATAAACGAAATAATTATCCCTCAATTTATCTTCCATCTTTATCTTATCTTTCTATCTACCGGTAAAAATATATATATATGATCATTGGGTAAAGATATATATATGATCATTGAAGTTTATTGTTTCTTTATAGAAACTACATATTTTCCTGTTCAATAAGATACTATTGGTTACAAGATTAACCAATCAAAATGGACAACAGTGCTATCAAGTTTATCGTCAACCAATCCCAGTTGATGAAATGATCATAGAAGATATGAAGGAAGTGGAAATAAAAATGGGGTCATTTCGAAAATCATTTAGTCAAACCGCCACTACACGTAAGTTATATTTATTATCTTGATTTTGATAGAATCAATTGACTTGTGTATATAAATAACCTGTTTTATGCAATAGGTGGTTAACTGACCACATTGTCAATTAAATTGCAGATAGTTTCAAATGGGGTTATAATTTCAAAATTCTTGTACACATTGGAATAATTCTCAGTCTACTAAGATATTATTTCTTATGTATGAGCATTTTTATGATCTATTCAATCTACAACTTTCCTTATATTTTTTGCTTTTTTGCACCCTTTGTTATCTTGAATAGTTTGATGTATTTGCAAGAATCTGTAACGTTTTTCCAATCCTTTTACTTTATAGTAATATAATGTATTTAAATCAGGGATGACATAATGTATATTGGCACAAATTAAAATAAATTAGAATTGTATTTGGAAATTTCTTGAACTAAAGTAATAAGTTATGAACTGTGGTTACACCAAAATAACCATCATTATATGTTTCATACATATGACCAATATGTGCATATGTTATTATTTTGATGTGCTATATAATTATTTTATTTTCATTTACAGCAAATAGTGTATTCAAGGTGTCATTCAAAGATCCTTTAAGTGGTCAGTCACACACATTAATAGCTAATGATGAACATGATAAAAGACAGTGGTTACAGTGTTTAGAAAAACTGCTTGCTGATGTTCCAAAGTGTGATCAGAATTAATATTTTAGATATTGTAAAAACTCTTGAGATTACAGCATTTAGTTTTTGACTACAATCATAAATAGTGCTATTACAGTATTTAGGCAGCATTAAGTCAAATGTGTTTAACATTTATTCTTTAACAACTATGCATTGTTTTGATTGATATTTATGGTATTAATGTTCTTAAGTTTTTGGTAATTTATCAAAATATATCTAGAAATCCTTTCACTTTCAAGTTTAATGAAAATATTTCTTTTTTATTTGTAGCTCAATGTTAGAAGAGTGATTTGCTCACATTATATGTTTTCTCCTTGTACCCTTTTGTTTTGGAAATTTTAGATTTGATTTATTTGTATCTTGTACCTTTTGCTCAAATCTTTATCTATTATATGTTTTCTTATCTTCTTTCTTTCTATTTACGTATAATGTATGTTTATCAGTATTTATGTCTTGTTGAATCTTTCTTCTTTCTTTCTTTTTCCTCATATAAAACTTTGCATCATGTGTACATCACCTTCAGCTTCTACAGAAATGTGTTTTACTACCTATCTTAAAGTCTATTACATTATACAAAAATGAACCGGATATTAAATTTAAATTAATAAATACTCATATTTATTAGAATGGTAATGTAATAATGTATTTATAGAGTGTCTGAAATCCAGAATGATGTGATGCTCAATGACACTAATTAGAAAAAGCTTTAAATTATGTTGTACATTACATACTTTTCCGATGATATTACCCCCAAAATGCCATCTTTAACAAATGGGAAATAAATTTACTATGTAAATGCCATGGAGTATTATATAACGGCTATGGGGGAGCAACTTTCTTAATTCTTGCCAAACTATCAGGGTATAAAGAAAACAGTATTAATGTAAATGTGAAATTATTTGGTTTCAATCAATGCAACTTAATTCTTTAGTAACAAAACAGGTATAATAATTGTAATTTCAGGATATCATTTGTGATAGTTCATTATGATAATTCACTCACCCCTTTATTTTACTTTATGTAGACCAAAAACTTACAACATCATCTCAAATTACATTCAATTACATTCAATATTTCCATGTAGAATGAATGATTTTAAAACCACACTTTATAGGTATTTGTTTTTAAAACATGAATGCACATTTTAATATAAATTTTTATACCAAAGTTGACCTTCAATCAAACACATGAAATATAAACTATAAAAGTGTGTTACATTGATGAATTATTGTGCTATTTGTATATAATATTATATATTTGTATCATTATATTCTTTTTGCCAAATTATTGTATTATTTTGTATATTAAGGAGATATAGATTTTGTTAGACTGATTGTCTAGACATAGTGTAAATTGTTTTTGTCATTCATAGAACTGGTTTTCAAGAACATACAACACAATGAAATACATTTTTTATCAGCTAATAGCATTTAAAGAAGAAAATAAAACCCCAATTTAATCTTGATACATGATAAAAACAAGTGGTTCTTGCTAAAGTGCAAGCAAGCCTCTATCGATACATAATAATAGGTTTTACATCATGAGACTATATGGATACTGTAAAACAACAAAATATATGTGCCTTGAAATCAATATGTTCAAAGTAATTAGACCATTATCAGCCATTGCAAGTTTGAGAAGAGAAGTTGAGGATAGATATACACTTAAAGCCATTAAAACCACAATGCCAAATTCAAAGTTTATTTACTGCAACAACTTTTAACAAATGTACATAATTGACAAAATCGAGATAACAAGCATTTGTAGAGAATTTCATGAAAGAATTCACTACAAATACACAAAACTGAAACGTCCGAGAACCATGAAACAAAGAAGGTGACAGCTGAAGTCATTATCGGGTATGTCCACTCTGAGCTCGTACACATGTCTGAAGTCGCCTTGGCATGGACTGGCACAGATGTCTCACTACACGCTGTTGGATTGTTTGCCAATGATTTTGGAGTGTCTGTGACAACTCGTCCGAGTTCATCCCAAAGGCGTTTGATAGAGTTCATGTCGGGAGACATAGCGGGCCAATCCATAACACGGACATGATGATTGTTCAGAAAGTCTCTTGTCAACCTGGCAGTGTGGGGTCGACGGACGCCATGTTGAGCCAGCAATGGAAGCAACACCGGACGAATGATGGTTTCAGCATAATGTTGAGCGTTGAGATTGCCTTGGACCACCACCAACTGGGACCGGAAGTTGACGTTGATAGCGACCCAAACCATGACGCCACCTACGCGGAAACTATCCCTTTCCAGCATGCAGTTATGAGCAAAGCGTTTATGTCGACATCGGTACGTCAGGAAAACTGAGGTTGAATTGGGATTCATCCGGGAAGATGACATTTCGACATGGTGTGTTGTGCAGATACCCCTGATTTGCGGCCCATTGCTGTCTGGCAAGTTGATGACGATGCAAAAGGATTTGACCTTGGTAAGCTTGACGGCAGTGTAATCCAAGAGCAGCCAGACGCCTTTCGACTGTTTGAGGGCTGATCCGACGCCATGTTCCAATAGTTCCCCTGGCAGTAGCAGTAGCTGACTGGAACCTGTTGCGCAAATGCAGTAGTCGGATGTGACAATCTTGAGCAGCGGTTGTTACAGGTGGCGCTCCAGGTTGGGGATCGATCGGCAACTCTTCCAGTGGCTTGGAAGCGTCTGAGGCGAGCAATGGTCGATGGGTGAACATTAAAGTTTCTGGACAGCTACCTATGAAGCCCTCTGATCCAGCACGCCAATAGCTCTGATCCTGTTTTGTTGTGTAAGGCGTAGCATTTTTCCGAAGTGATGAATGTTGAAATTTTGATCAGTATCTAAAGGACCAGAGTACAGGGAAAGCACATGCAAAACGTGTGACATGGGACTGCTTAAAACACATTACCGAGAATTGATATTGGGTTCAGACCCATCACAAGTTTCACCTATAAGCCATAAGATAGGAAAGCCCAAGAAAACGTTTACCAGAAATATTTCATGAATTAGGCATTGCGTTTTTAATGGCTTTGAGTGTATAATAATGTTTACCATCTGATTAATTACTGTTTAAATGAGGCTAATGTTGATACCAGTTATTTCTGTAACTACTGTCCACCTTATATTACATATAGATAATAATATCACTGGTCGCATTTAACACATTATTTTGTCCATTACAGAATACATTATGCATGTACTTTTCAGTGAAATTTGGGAATGAATCACTACTTCATATATTAGTAAATAATTACTTCTAGCAATATATATTAAAGTGGTAGTGGGATATGTTTTAATCAAAATATATAGAAAAGTTCAAAGTTACTATAATCAGAAATTAACAGTTATTATAATCAAAATATAGACTAAATTAACAGTTATAATAATCAAAATATAGAGACAAATTAACAGTATGCGTCATATTTTTTGGTATACCGGTAATTACATTTGGAGAATTATTTAATATTACTTAGATATAACTTTCAAGTATATGCTAGAATAGATATTGATATAAAGTGAACAGAAGACATCACTGTATTCTTGTCAGATAAGTGGATTGTTATTTTGTAAAGTGCTTTTTTTTTTTTTCTTTTTTTTTTTTCATACTACATGTATGTAATTAGTGAGATCATGTAAATATAACCTGTCGATTTATGTAGCATAATAAATCCTATATGATAAATCTGTTTTATTGTTTTCATCTTTTAACATTTCCCTTGGTTAGTTCATTCAAACCTCAAAATATATTGTGCTTCTAACAACCAGTAAAAATGAAGTGATAGACCTAGAGGGTTTATTAAAGATGCATTATGTAAGATTTAGATGATAAGCTTGCTGCTCATATAGGAACCTTGTGGGTTTTCTCCGGTTTCCTCCCACTGCGAAAGACCCCTATGTGCAACCAAATTATTGAAATAAAATTACACCATGTGTTAGTCCCAAAATGACCTAGTTTGTGTCGAGTGGATGTTAAACCCCATTTCTCTCTCTCTTTTGCTGCTCATAGTTCGAAAACAGATCATGAAAAATTAATACATTGAAAATTTCAGTCAAATTACTTTATACTATTGGAAGTTATCAGTGTTTGAAGTTTTGACAAAATGTAGCATAGATTGTTTGTTACTGTAGCAGCGGTACTTGACATTAGTTTTGATTTTCTATTTTATCATTAAACTCTCAAAGGGTTGCAGCGTTCTAATCTGTTGATATATGTAAGTCAATGAAAAGGAAAGAGATAACTGTTGATTTCTATTTCCAGATTTCAATGTTAGAAGAGAAATCCTTTAGGTGTACTTCACATTACCAACCATTCAGCTCCGAACTGAGCTAATGAAGATGGGCATACGCCATACAGTGTGCTATGAGGGAAATTTGGCCTGGACAGCGGCACTACAGCTTACTCTTATATTGAATTCCAACTTTCAATGTGTACATGGGACCTCAGTTTTCCATCCCATCTGAACGACTAGACAGCTGTCTTTGTCAGGCTCTCCCGTCCAGCATCACTGACAAGGGGAAACCATGCCGGAAAATCTGGATGAACTTTCTCGGCCAATGCAGAGATCGAACACCCGACCTCCAGGCTAGCGAGCCAGCGTCTTACCCACCTGTGAAAATAGAAAATACTATCAATTTTGAACAAAATCAACACTGTCTCTATATATTTTTGCTTATTTAAAGAAAAATCCATTCTACTTGTCAATGAGTTCTTGTTTTGGCTTCATGCATGCATGCCCAGTCTACAACTGCTACCAGTATTTGGCATCCTAAAATTCCTGAATGTCTGTGCCATTTGACAAATGATTTTAAACTATCTTTTAGATGCATAAAATGTATGGATTGCTAAAATTTGGGATTTCATATCTGTTGACTCAAAACACAAGGGATAAATCACAATAAAAAAAAAAATCACTGATTACAGTATAGCAGTTTTAATACTTCCACATCAATGAAACAATAATATTTATTATAAAATCAAAATGCATTATCTAAGATCTAGTTAAAGAGCTAGCCATTCTTGCTATAATAGTTCAAAAACAAATCATGAAAAATGAATATATTGAAAATTTCATTCAAATTAATTTATTCTGTGTGAAGTTATCAGTATTTGGAGTTTTGTAGTGTAGATTGTTTATTATCGTACCAATGGAACTTGACAATTGTTAAATTTTTTAATCTTGCAGATGTTCTAATCCATTTAAATCTCGGCCATATGATGGTCTAGAGAGTAGATTATTATAGGCTTGTCATCTGAATAAATGTCTAAGTAATATTTAGCTCTTACATAATGTATGGTTAACGAATTAAAACCAACTGACAACATCTGATTCATGAAAACTGTGATCTATGATATAAGGAAATACCATAGATTATTTGTCATATACAACAGATTGTTTTCATTGTTTCCTTGGTTATATAATATGTGTTGACAGACAAACCATCACACACATTTATAATAGAGATTTTTTGTTTTGCATATACCATTCAATATATGGATGAACATTTCAATAAATGAAATGGGGTTTAACGTCCTACTCTTCTGCACCTAACCTGGGCTAATTGAAGAGGACATTTCAATAAAACATTGGCAATAACCATGAAGGTGATGGGTAATGCTTGTGCATGACACATATCATCACCAAAAAAATGACGATGACTAGAAATGAGCAACATGAGGTCTGAATAGAGCGCCACAAAGTGTTTGGTTTTGAGGATTGTTGTCAAGGAAAAATCTGGTGTCGACGACAGAAAATACTTGATGTGTGCAGGCCTCAACAGCTGATATCTTTACTAAAATTCACTACTTAGTTGATTACAGTGGAATAAGATAAAATTACGCCTGTGTCAAACTAATATAAATGCTTTGTTAAAAAACAATTTATTCAATGTTTCATTTACAGTATTTAGACAATATTTACACAACTGTTGTTGTTACTTAAAGCATTTGGACTAGATTTATTCAAGCTGATAAATGATTTTAAGGATTCAAAATCAAGCTAATATTGGGTAATGCCCCATTTATGTGTGATCCCAACTTAATTACAATGGTTCAAGTAAATTTCAAATATTCTTTTAAAACTTTTGGTATTGAAAGTTGATCTATACAATCCAATCTGTTGCCTCCCAATAACTTACGTACTTTGAGTCGACTGAAATGTCGTAATGATTGTGGATTACCTGTAAATCAGAATATAATAAAGAACTTTAACATACATGTAATTAATAATACTAAATAGGAATGAATAAAAAAAAGTGGGTCCTTCCTATCTTTTGGGACTTGTCTTCATTATCCTAGACGCAGAAAAGTAGGATACTGAACCCCACTTCATTTCATTTGTAACTAACATTATACAAATATCTCTTTTCTGCATTCTCCATTGCCTATTTAGTTGTAGAAAGAAACCAAGATGTTAAGCAGGAGACAACATTTCTAATTATCACATACAACCTTGTGATTGAATACACATTTGCATATATAATCAATCTAATTAAAATATAGATCTATATTTCGTTTCGTTTTTTATACTTTCGATGGCCTACACTACATGTAGATCTAACAAGTTATAGTGGGAGTTCACGTTCTATGACGTCAGGTACCAAGCAAGCGACATTTGTACCCGATTACGTCAGTCATTCGATTAACCAATTAGCAATTTTGCTTTGTTTTGATATCTATTGCTGCTAATGTCTACCCACCGTTCCGCGCAAAAAAGGTCAAACGTTCGATTCGACAGACCATTTGATTGGCTGGCCCCTCATTTCAAGCAGAACACGAGTTAAATAACAACGCTTCCAGATCCAAGTGTAGTAAAGACAAGTAAAATCGAAATTTTGAACTATAAAAACGAAACAAAATTGGATCTGTGTTTTAATCAGATTGCATATATAATATAACAGACTTATCATTTACAATGCAATGCTTAAAGATACATTCCCACGAAAATATTTATAGGGTAGTTATTTCTGAGAAAAATACTGGATTTCCTGAAAAACACCCATGCATATCACTAACTGTCAGCCCGACGGCTTATTAGACCGGAGGCTCAGTGCGGGGGGTCCATCAAATGGGCACAAAACCAGACCCATCTTTTCTATAGTAAAATTTTGCGTAGAATACTATGCCGTGTGGTAATCAGTCCACCGTTGGGTCGTTTTCGAGATATAAGACAACCTCCCTCCGCTTCTGATGGGAATAAAGAAATCAAAATACGACTTAAGACAACATTTCCCAAAAGTTATTGCATGGTCGGGTTTACAACTTTATTGTCAAAACCAATTTAATACTGCTCTAGTCACAATAGATACTGTCTGGGCTGGAGAGATCAAGTCTACCTAACAAGAGTTTTTCCAGTTATGTCCTGGTAACTTGTTGCTGTATCATTGTATCATGCAAATTTCAAACAAAAGTGGAAAATCAAATCACAGGTTATATTATTAGTGTCAAGGCTTTTTTTCTATATTTAAAAAATATTGTATCCTTACCTTCCCAGAATAATAAAAGCTTTTTAGCTGGTGAAGTACTACTACGTATTAAATCTCTAGGTAATAAACCATGGTTATTCCTGGCATATATATCAGCTCCATGATTCAATAATAAAGTTAAAAAACTCACATCTTGATGTCTGGCTGCATCATGTAATGGTGTAAGGTGAATTTTTGTAGCATTTACTGATGCTCCTATAGTATAATAGAAAAAGCAATGAATAATTTAACATACTGAATAAGGAAAATATTTTCTTTTCTCAATATGATTATACGCAGAGTGCTATGACGGAAATTTTCAATGGAATGTGGCATTTCTACATCGAATTTCAACTGTGAAGGATTCTTTTATGTGTACGCCAATGTGTACACAGGAGCTTGTCTTTTGTCCCATCTACACAACTAGACACTGTATTTTGCCAAGCCCTTTGTCCTGCACTAATGAAAAATCCTGGGGAACTTTCTTGAAGGGCGATACCACGACATCACTAGCCTACATGATACCATCAGCCACCACTTGTAAGGCAGAAAATACAGAAAAGTATTTATCGAGTGGTTATTTCCAATAAAAGTATGGCAATTTTGGTATATATGGAAATTAGAGATATCCAATCTTAGTAGAAAAATACTGGATTCCCCGAAAAACACTCATGGAGCGTATACAGGACAAAAATGTAAGGGTTCCCCTAATCCACAGCCCGACGATTTAGAATTTCTGCACGCGTGATGTCAAAGGTCACACGCGAACATTGAGCGCTTAATGTACAAGTTGATAAACGCTATGAAGAGTTAGACGTACAACACTTTCTGAGATAAAAATGACGGAAAAAGACGCGGGTAGTGGATAATCCGAGAATTTAATTAGGATTCGATATTTGTAATAAATAGTAAGCGATTAAAGACAACATCGTCTAATGTACGCAATGAATTCTCCTCTGACATCTAAGACGTGACGTAAACATGACTTGGTTTGATCGAATTTTAATAGCAGGGCATTCCTTCACAATTACAATGTTTGAGAAGGATTTGAAGCATAATTATGACAAATTAATTAGTTTGAATATGTATTTAATCCATATATACCATTAAATCACCCAGTTTGTACGCGGGAACCCATCTTTAACTTTAGTTTGATTTTAATCTAATTTCATTTTCAAGTTTAACATAATTTTTATACGCCCACATGGAAATGTGGTCGTATATTGCTGTCGCCCCCGTCCGTCCGTCCGTCCGCCGTCCACAATTTCTTGTGAACACTCTACAGACTACATTTATCAACCAATTGTTTTGAAATTGATATATGTTGTTTGCATTAGTGAGATGAAGAAGCCTATTTAATTTCAATAACTTCTGTTAATTTCTTCTGGAGTTATGGCCCTTGTTTCACTTTGTTGCACCTTGTGAACATTTTAACGACAAAAGTTATCAACCGATCTGTATGAAATTTATATGCATCATTTAAATTAGTAAAACAAAGAAGCCTATTGAATTTCAGCAATTTCCGTTAATTTCTTTTGGAGTTATGGCCCTTGTTTCACTTTGTTGCACCTTGTGAACGCTCTAACGACAAAAGTTATCAACCGATCTGTATGAAATTGATATGCATCATTTAAATTAGTGAAATGAAGAAGCCTATTGAATTTCAGCAATTTCCGTTTATTTCTTCTGGAGTTATGGCCCTTGTTTTACTTTGTTGCACCTTGTGAACGCTCTAATGACAAAAGTTATCAAACGATTTGTATGAAATTTATATGCATCATTTAAATTAGTAAAACAAAGAAGCCTATTGAATTTCAGCAATTTCCGTTAGTTACATCTAGAGTTATGGCCCTTATTTCACTTTGTTGAATATTGTGAATGCTCTAATGACAACAGTTATCATCCGATCTGTTTGAAATTGATATGCATCATTTATATTAGTGAAATGAAGTAGCCTATTGAATTTCAGCAATTTTCGTTAATTACGCCGTGAGTTATGGCCCTTGTTTCACTTTGTTGTACCTTGTAAATGCTCTCTAACGACAAAAGTTATTATCCGATCTGTATGAAATTTATATGTATCATTGAAATTAGTAAAACGAGCAAGCCTATTGAGTTTCAGTTATCACCTAAATTAGTGAAATGAAGACAAACAAGCCTATTGAATGTCAGCAATTTCCATCAATTACGTCTAGAGTTATGGCCCTTGATTTACTTTGTTGAACTTTGTGAACTTTCGAACAACAAAAGTTAACATCCGATCTGTATGAAATTCATATGCATTATTTGAATTATTAAAACGAAAAAAGCAGATTTTTTGGATAATCTGCTGTTGGGACATAGCTGTTGTGTGGGTTTATTTCCACAATAATATTTTCTTGGTGAAAGTAATATGTCCAGTATATCATAACATACTGTATATTCTTCTATGGTTTAGTGTGCAATGTAAAGCTGTCTTTCTATGTCACATACCCTTTAATTCCAACTATCAAGGGATATACATTGATGATGCTTTTCAATAATAAATCTCAATCCAAACAACCTACCTAATTTAAGAAGAATGCTAGCACAAGCTTCATGGTCTTTATATGCTGATATATGTAAGGGTGTTCCAAAATGACAATCACTCGCATCCACTCTAGCACCAGCTTTTATCAGAAGCTCTATACAATCTACATTATCTGTTAATTACAACAGTAAGTTTATCTTAGCGATTTTAAATAAACAAGCCAACAATGAGGCTGATGTCCCCTGCCGAAATCCCGGAAAATATAGATGACATATATTAATCAATTGCACATTTATCTTTTCAAAAGTATCAAGCAATTACACTGATTATCAACTATAAAGTTCACCACTCTCTATCAGACAGAATCAAAGTCATAGCAATTGCTTAGCTCTGCTTAGCTTTAGCGGGAAATGTTAATCATTGAACTCAGTCAATACAAACACCTAATGAACATATACATCAAGTTTAACCATTCTACCTCAATTAAGATAGGTTGCCAGGCAACGAAACATACGCCCACAGCAGCTGAATCGTCCGAGCGGTCGACAAGAGTTGTCGCATATTTATTCCTTTGTAGGTAATTGTGGGCCTTTACAATACAGTTCCATATAGATTCTTTTTACTAAGTTAAATGGCACATATAAATTTTATACAGATCGGCAGATAACTTTAGAGGTTAGAGTGTTCACAAAGTACAACAAAGTGAAACAAGGGCCATAACTCTAGAAGTAATAAACGGAAATGGCTGAAATTCAATACAGATCGGCAGATAACTCTTGATGTTAGAGCGTTCCCAAGGTGCAACAAAGTGAAACAAGGGCCATAGCCCATAACTGTAGAAGTAATTGACAGAAATTGTTGAAATCCAATAGGCTTCATCGTTTCACTAATTTAAATCAAGCATATAAATTTCACAAAGATCGTGTGATAACTTTTTGCCTTAGAGCGTTCACTAGGTTCAATAAAGTGAAACAAGGGCCATAACTCTAGACGTAATAAACGGAAATTGCTGAAATTTAATAGGCTTCTTCGTTGCTCTAATTTAAATGATGCCTATAAATTTCAGAAAGATCCGATGATAACTTTTGGCGTTAGAGAGTTCACAATGTTCAATAAAGTGAAACAAGTGCAATAACTCTAGACCTAATAAACGGAAATTGGTGAAATTCAATAGGCTTCATCGTTTCACTAATTTAAAAATGTATATAAATTTCACATAGATCGAATGATAACTTTTGGCGTAATAGCGTTCACAAGCTTCAAAAAAGTGAAACAAGGGCCAAAACTCTAGACGCAATGAACAGAAATCATTGAAATTAAACTTTTGGCGTAATAGCGTTCACAAGGTTAAAAAAAGTGAAACAAGGGCCATAACTCTAGACCCAATTAACAAAAATTATTGAAATTAAATAGGCTTCTTCATTAATCAGATAATAACTTTTGGAGTTAGACCGTTCACAAAAAATTGTGGATGGACGGACCGACAGACGGATGGACGGACAGGCGCGACGGCAATATGCGTCCACATTTCCATATAATATATAATATAAGTACAATTAATTTACCCTACATTGGTCGTGGTGGTCATGATGATTGTGATGATGATGATGATGATGATGATAATGGTGATAGACCAATTAAAAAACATTTTGTAATCTGTATAAAAATATGAATAAGGAGTAGTTCAAGTAGTTGGTATCAGTATTTTTATGTCTCTCTGCTCTGTTTCCAGCAAATAATAACACAAACCTATTAAAATGTTTCTGTTTATTTTGCAGGATCTACATTTCCCTATTGCTTCTTTGTATTCAGTTTTAGTTTTTCTCTGTTTTATAGTCCAGGCAAGATAGCAAAAGTGCGGGCAGTTGCTGCAATAGAAATGCTGATCACGGTTTATGGTCGGTTTAGACGTATATTATCACCAAAAAAAAGTCCCAGTCTGAAATCCGTGCCCAAATGGGTCAAACTGACCAAAATCCAAAATGGCCACCGCTTTTTGCTTGTAAATTCCAATTTCCACCCAATTATCACAATATGATCGAGTTTGGTATCAAAATATACGTTTTTGGGGTAACTGAATCCATTTCCCTACACATTTTTGTGATAAGTGTTACCTCTGGGTCAATATTAGGGGTTATTCAAGATGGTGGTCAGTTTTGGCGGGAAAATTCAAATTTTACATAAGGATCAAGTTTGGTGTCAAAATATATGTTTTTGAGGTAGCTGAATCTATTTTTGTACATATTTTAGAGATTAAGTGATTCCCTGTGTCAATATAGGAGAAATTCTAATTTGGAATTTAGATTTCTGATTAGGGATTGGAGATTAATGATACTCCTACCTTAGACCTCATACAATGACTTTCATCCAGTATCAACTAAATTTCATTTGGAGTGTCTTCCAGTTCACTGCGGTAGCGGCATAGGGGTATGTCGACTGGGGTCACTCTCAGATCACTGCGAAAGCTGGTCGTGGCTTTTGAAGCACGTGGCACAAAATGATTCAGATGTTCAGACACGGATGGATACAGTATCACCTGTTTATCAGATATGCAGTGAACCATTTAATAATGAATAACCCATAGTTATTGGTCCATGTTTTAAGGTTAATGAAGTGGAGGAGTCTGTATCAAGGTCTAAAGGGTCCGCGGTGCCAAAATTCATTTTTGCGGACCATTGTCTTTCACACGGTCTGTAGAAAAGACTAGCAGACGGTCCATTACAACATATATAATCGGTGACCGCTGTTACAACAGTAAACAGTAGAACTCGCAATGCCTATTCTTTGGACAAGCCAAGACAGGACAAATGACGACTTGACATTAATATAGTTGTATTTAATAAATCAGCATTGAGGCTGGTGTCCCTAAATAGATGACACTCATTAATTACTTGCATATCTAACTTATTTATAAAACATCTAGCACAGAAATTGTTCTTCACTCTGTGTAATTTAAGCAAAAATTGCAGAGGCATGCTGGCTAGGTAGTCACCCGCCTACCCTGCCCTCATCAATTCAAAAACAAATTAAACTCGAAATGGTTGATAACGCTCGAATCCGATGATATTTCCTAACAAGGTATATGGGAGGGAGCGGGGGTGGCTATGTGCCTTCTCTTCCGAAAATGTGCCATCGAATATTGTGCCCCCCTTTTCTGCTGCCCTTTCCTTGTTCCAACTAACTACAGGGTTACTACAATGTCCGTTTTTCATTGATGATGTAAGGGCCCCATACAAGCTCAATCAGACCATGATTTCCACGGATGACTTTCAAAATAGATTTTACAGACGGATTAATATTTCCATAATATTCAGAATCAACTAATTTGTCTTAGTTTTATTTATTTATCTAAGTGAATTTAGGAAAATTGCAACACGGGCGACGGGAACCATTATTGCCAGTTAGCATACTCAGGGCCAATACGCAAACCGTCACAACGAATGACATTTAATCTGTCACCAGTAACTTCCTTGGCCTGGCTTAAAGTGTATTTTGATCGTCGTCTCGTTCTTAGGGTTGTCAGTCTACTTTCAATTCTACCTCCCTACCCCTACCCTCATTAGGGAACAGAATCGAATGAAACTTGGCAGGTACCCTTTATAAGGAATACCAGTCCCTTTTGATGCTTGTTTTTCTTTACTCACAGGTCGTTTAGTTCTTGACTGCAGCTAACTATGTTCATGTTCGGATCTTTGTTACTTAATCATAATCCCTTAACCAATTGTCAATACGTCAAATCGCTTCTACCATGTGCCACAGAACTCAAATTTTCCCCGATCCTACCCCACCCCTCCTAAAGTGCCCTAACTTTGGTCTGCCTACCCTCGGAGGCCCTAGCACGCCCTTGGCTTATTGCTGAACTTAGTCATGAATTTACACCAAGTTTTATTCTGTCCTAAATTTTCTGCTATTGAAATTGGTATCTCCGCTCATTATTGAACGTAAGCCAGGAATCTTAATCGGCTCATTATTGTCAGCCCCCAATACCCGTTATCTTTCCCTCATTTTGGGAATGACGATGGGTAGTTCACTGCATATCTGACAAACAAGCGATATTGTATCCATCTGTGTCTCAACATTTGAATCAGTTCCTGAAATAAATTCGCCACGTGCTTAAATAGGTTTGGCCATCTTGGCTCAATTTTCGAGGTTGGTGATCGAAATCGGACACGCCCATGACACTGCGTCCACAGTGGGCTGAGAATGATAGCCTGCTACGCTGATTCCGTAGTGAGCAGTGGTCGACCAGAGCGTCTAAATGAAATTTAGTTGATGCTTGATGAATGCCATCGTATTAGATCTGAGGCGAACTCGTCCACTCGTAATCCCCAAATTTCCAATGGGATTTCCCATTATTTTGACCCAGGGGAACCAGTTAATTACCAAGATGAAAAAAATGTGTCGAAAATGAGATCAGCTGCCTCCAAAACATATATTTTGACACCAAATGTGGTTATTTTGTAAAATTCGAATTTTCCCGCCAAAACTGGCCGCCATCTGGAATTATTTCCCAATATTGACTCCGCGGTATAACTAATCACCAAAATGTGTGTGGGAACGGATCCAGCTACCTCGAAAGGATATATTTTGTACCAAACTCAATCATATTATGGTAAGTGGATAAAAACTGGCATTTTCCAGTCAAAACCGGCGGCCATTTTGGATTTTTGCCAATTTGACCCATTTGGGCACAGATTTCGCACTGGGACTTTTTTTTTGGTGATAATATACGTCTAGATCGACCATAAAACGTGGTCGGCATATCTATTGCAGCAACTTCCCGAAATGGTGCGAAATTGAGTTAAAATGCCTGGACTATTATAGAAATAAGGACTTATGCCCTAACTTTGTAATTAATACACTTTAATTCATTTGCACGCTTATAATGGTTTGATCCCTATTTTTTGACTACTACATAGGCCATTTAGTTTTTACTTGGCTTTTTACTACATCTCACATAAATGGTTACTCGTAAAGTTATTTCCTTCAATGTGCCTATATTTATATTTCATGTAGCACATAGCCGATCATGACTCCCACAAGTATTATACAACGTTTGGGAAATATTCCCCTACTGTTAGTTTGTTTTTCATTTTGAGTAAAGTCTGTATCAGCGTAGATAACGTTGTGACTTCAACAGTGTCCACAACCTTGGTATTACATACTTTAACAATATTTGCGTACAAAGAGCGGCCATTTTTTCCTGCAGTTTTGGTCAAATTTTTATGAAATTCGAACTCAACCTTCACTGATGTGTAACAGTGATATATTTAAATGTTTTTTATGCGCAAATATCGAAAGGAACCAAGATCTTTGGGTTATAAACCTGTATTTCAAGTTTCATCAGAATCAGATGAAAATTATGATCTCTAGAGGGTCCACAAGCTAAAAACATGATTTTTGGTACAATCAAGGTCTATAATTATAATCCATGAAGTTATTATCCGATACATCCAATATCGAAAGGAACCGAGATCTTTTGGAGATAAACCTATATTTCAAGTTTCATCAAAACCGGACAAGATTTGTGGACGGACGGACATCCGGACGGACAGGGGCGACGACAATATACATCCATATGAAAATGTGGGCGTATAAATATTGATGCATGAATTTTGATATGGTTAATTCTTTGTGGCAAGTCAAACAATTCCAGCAAGTTAAAAAAAAAAACCCACACCAGACAACAAACTACAATGTTGTAATGTTATCTCATAAATCATGAGATGGTGATGCAAATACTTCAATGTCAATAAATACAGTGTCAAGTTCAATGTACTCTTACCTCTTAATACAGCCTCATGTAATGGAGATGTCATTAATAATGGTGGATTTACTATTGCACCATGGTCTAATAAATATTCTATACATGGCAGACTACCATTGGAACAGGCATCACATAACGGTGTAGCACCATCAATATTTCGGACATTTACCTGAAATGATTAAATTAGCAGGAACATACCTTAAATATTTATTTACCTGTACATTCAGAAAAGATGAGCAGAAATTGCATTGTCCTAGCTAGCAGTCAAACTTACAAGGATTTTGGTTTGATTATAATCAGTGATAGTTTATTATGTGAAAATTATGAAATAATGTTGAATAAAAGAAATGAAAGCAAATTTCACTAAATTGCTCCAGGGTTTTATTTTTCAGTCCATTTTGTAAAGTGATGTAAATTAGAAGAATAGTATTAAATTTACATCTTAAAGCTACACTTGCATACTTAACAAGAGTTAACAAAGACTCTTACTTCAGCACCTGCTTCTACTAGTATTTTAACACACTGTAATCTTCCATATATACATGCTTCATGTAATGGTCTCACTAAATCTGGACTAGCACAATTAACAGCAAACGCTTCAGTCTTTAATAAATTCTGTAATATTTCTGCTCTACCTTCTCTAGCAGCACGATGCAGTGGGTATTTGTCATCTAATAATTCAGAAAAAACCAAAACAGAATGTATTTACAACAAGCAGTCTACACTGAGGTCACCGGTAATAGAATTTACTTTAACTTTCAATTTGCAGGAAGAAGAGATTTTAATGAATGCCCCACACCAACATTTACTAATCAAATTGCAATAAGGTAATTCAGTATTGTTAATCTTACAGTTACACAATTATTTATAAGGACATATTCCATGTTGTTCTCCAATTAATCAATCTGATCGAGATCCCAGTACTGGTAGGCTAACAGTAATCAAATATGCAGTTATATTCAAACTCTAAATTATTTAATGGTCTCGAGCAAGACATTGCGTAATATATCAAAACAACATTAATATCCATAAACTTATATTACTGGTAGTGGTACCGGTACGCAATGTCTCGCACTTGACCATTAGAACCATACACAAGTAGTAAGTGCAGGGGGACTGCACCACACAAAATTAACACAAAAACAAATACACGGTCAGGACATCATACTCCGGAAAAGTTACTGCAGTTCAAAAATTGACCAATCAGGTTGCAGGAAAATAATTAACACTTATGTGATAATCAAAATTCGTTCATTAGAATTATATGTAAAGTTTACTACATTTTAAAGAGTGGGATCTCAAGCACTTTTTAATTTATTGGAATATTTAATTGCGAAAGAGTTTCAGACTTGTTTATGGCTCCCGTCTTCATTAGCCGAGTCGGAGCAGAATGGAAGGATGTTAAACCCCCATTTCATTTGTTTATGGCTCAGTATTGAAGTTCTATGCATTTATTGATTTGCAAATGTAAGGCTTAGAAATGGCTAAGAAAGGCTATGATAATTATGAATATACAATAATACATGCTATTAAAAAGCCCCCAACCCCACCCATATCATGTATTTATTAACCGACATGGTGTCAAGCTTGTTATGTAATTAATTAGAAATTACGATAATCTTTTTTAAATATAGCCTAATAATAATTCATTTTAAATAGACATCTAGTAGCCTAATCAATATTATAATTTTAAATTTAGGCTATATAGGCTATATTAATATTGCTTCAACTTGTACATTTCATTTCTACTGTCACTCACTCACTCAGTCACTTAGATAACAAACCTTAATCTCTCAACCCTCCGTGTTTTGAGTTAAGAACTGAGGCCATTACCTATAACGTTGCAGCTGCCGGAGCGATTCACACACAGCATTTTTAAACAAAATTGACAATAGTTTTATTCAAAACAACGATTGATTATTGTTATTTAGAATATTTCTACAACATTCAACTACAATTAAGCATATAATCCTACCTGAAATGGGTACAAATCGTCGTTTTTAAAATCGAGGCGTTAAGCCGTTACTAAGACCGCCATCTTTTTAAACGATACGCTGTCATCATGAAGGCGGGGCTAAATATAAGGCTTTTATAACAGCCAATCAAAAGGACAATCGAAAGCACAGTAACTATGAATGGATTTCGATGGCGGTGAAATGTCAGACAAAAACAACGCTTCATTAATTTAAACGCGAATATTTGGAGTTAGGCGACAGTTGTGCCACTACATTGGCCTCCGTAAGTTTAATTAATCATAATATCATAAACTTATCTATTTTAAAGATGTTACATGCATCAATAAAGAAATTGAGTTTGCCACTTGGAACTAAAGGCATCCAATCGTAGCTGAAAACAAACACATCAGTATATCTCAACGTTTTTAGCTACGTTCTCGTAGCTATCAGTCACTGTGCATTCAGTTTTACTTTTAGACCAATTTTCATATATTTTACGGTTCCAACGAATAGAGCCATACGCCCTTAAGCAGTGTCCATGAAGAAAAAAAAGGTTTTATATTTACTCAACAGAAATCCACTATTTCTTTGAAAAGTTTGCATTATTTTCACGTTTTTGACGCTACTGCCACTGGATCTTGACCGATCTGTAGAATATCTGTCAGTGAGTGTTTATACCCACAATTCTAACCCTAACCCTTCAGAATAGTTTTAGCCACAATCCACCGTTGTTACAGCTTCAATTTGTTCGTTTGACATGTAATTTATAAACCTAACCCGAACCCTAACTCTAGAGAAGATATTCTCCAGATGACACAAAGATCTAGTATTATTCCCGTGTTGTTTACATCACAGAACGCTTTATACCTTTCCGTGTAGAAACACGGGTATGGGAGGCAACTCTATCGACAATAAGGACTCAGACTAGCAATTATTTGCCCATTGACTTCAATGTTAAATGGCTGTAACATCACAGGCTGTAGCTTTTTTCTCAACATTCCGTTGGTTCCAATCTTTATAGGCACAATGGGGACAACATTTGGCAATCTCCTCATCATAATTTTGTAGGGGGTTGACCGTTTAGATTTTTTGCTACACGGATTTGAAGTTGACTGGGGTGAAAATCTCACTTCCGACACAATGATTGCTCCGCAGAAAGACACTTTACACCCCCTATCCCTCCGCTGTAATATCATCAGTATTACCCAAAACTGCTATGAAATTGCAAATTTCATCCCTTTTCTCCAATTCTAGACCAAAAAGTCAACCCAATGCAGGAAGAGGGGAGAAAAAAATTAAGGGAAAAATTGTCTATTTATAACTCGCACTACCATCATGAAATAAGGGGAAATAATTACTAGCCTTAGTCCGATATGGATTCGACTAGCCATTGTTTGCCCATTGAAATGAAAACTCCTGGAAAACACCATGTTATACTGAATACCGGAAAACACACTAAATACCGGAAAACATTCTAAATAGGTAACTCGGAGTCTGGTCCTCTGGAAAACACCAGAAAAAACTAACCCTAACCCTAACCCACCGCTGGTCCTCTGGAAAACCCTAACCCTAGTCCTAACCCTCCGCAAACAGAGGACCAGGCTCTTTGTTACCTATTTAGGGTGTTTTCCAGTGTTTAGTGTGTTTTCCGGTATTTAGTGGTGTCCGGTGTTTTCCGGTATTCAGTATAACATGGTGTTTTCCGGTAGTTTTCCGGTATATAGTATTGCCGAATATATCTTACTCTGCATCAACTTGGCTAATGAAGAGGGCCCTTTCACTATATAAAAACAAAACATTTGGCTTATCATTTTTTATTACAACACAACAGTAATATAAGTAAAACTTCCCTAACACACACCACACATGACACCATTGAAATACAGTGCAGAAATGTCACAAGTTGGACCTGATTTATATGAGTATAACTTTTTCATACACATTTTGCTTGATGTAACTGAAGTTATTGGTATTTTAAATCATACAGAAAATAGAGAACATGTTCACTTAACTCTAATAGGTCATTTCAGAACTAACATGGTAATTCATCATTATTCAACTATGTTAAAGTTACAATTTCATATTTTTAAGTTATATTTTTAAAATAAAGCCCTAAAATAGATCGTAACTATAAACAGTCATACCTTGTTAAAGAATAATCCTATTAATCCTATAATTCACTATTGCCAGTTGAGAAATTGGCAAAAATATCATTTTCAACTTCGAATTCAAACGTTTGAAGATAAATATTCCATGGTGGGGAATAGGAAAACAAGGGAGGTAATTGGGAGGTAATTGTGTTATTATTTCCGGTGTGAAGATTTTTAAGTGTGAGAAATATAACCTATGATCGTATAATAGTGAGTTGACAACCAATTGAGCAAAAGGCATAGAAATAATTATGTTTTGACTTTCTTAGAAAATATGAAATTGTAACTTTAAGAAAAGACAGACATTAAAGTCAGTACAATTTTTTGAGAACAAAATAATAGAGTTGACATTACATGTATATATATGTCCAATTAAACCAAAGACATCCTTCTGCTTTTATGCCTATTTGAGTCATTTTTTTAACATTGGTAGTTTAATTTCACATAATATATATTAAAATTAAAAACAATAATAATTTTAATCACAATACCAAACAAGCGGTTGCCATGCAAGATATGCCCACATTTTGCATGAGATGGAAAGCAAACAAACTAAAATAAGAACAATTTTTCGTACAATCAGGGGACATAATCCAGGATTTTATAGTCTGATATGCGCGAATATCAAAAGGAATTGGAATCTCTGGAATATAAACATATATTTTAAGTTTCAACAAAAACAGATAAAAATTAAGACATCTGACAACCATGATATTACACACTTTTACACTATTTGCGTACAAGGAGCAGTTTCGACCTGATTTTCATGAAATACGAACTCAACCGTCACTAGGTTGAAACACTGATATATTTAAATGGTTTTTTTTAAAATCGGATAGAAATTGTAACCTCTAGAGGGTCCACAAGCTAAAAACTGAATTTTTTGTACAATCAGGGGCCATAATTCAGGATGTTACGATCCGATATGCATGAATATAAAAAAAAAACAAGATCTTTGGGATATAGACATATATTTTAAGTTTCATAAAATTTGGACAAAAATTGTGCGTCCACAACCTTGGTATTACATACTTTAACACTATTTGCGTGGCCATTATGTTGGGCAGTTTCGGTCTGATTTTTACGAATTCGTACTCAATCAACATCGGGGCGTAACTGTGATATATTTAAACAATTTTTAAAATTGGATAAAAACTTTGACCTATAGAGGGTCCACAAGCTAAAATCGCGATTTTTTTCGTACAATCAAGGGCCATAATCCAGAAGTTGTTGTCCGATATGTGGGAATATCAAAAGGAAACGAGATCTTTGAGACATAAACACATGTTTTAAGTTTCATCAAGGGTCCCTAACCTTGATATTACATACTATTTGCGAACATAGAGCAGTAATTTTGTCTGGCAGTTTCTATCCGATTTTCACGAAATTCGAACTCAATCATCATTAAGGTCTAACAGTGTTACATTGGATAAGAACTGTGACCTGTAAAGTGTTCATAAACAAATTGTGGATGGACAGGGGCGACGACAATATACGTCCACATGAAACTGTGGCCGTAAAAAATATAATTTAAAAAGAATAAATATTTTAAGGATACAATTTTTTGTTGTTTTATTTAATATTTTTAACTTAAAAGCTACTGGTAAACAAAAATATTAAAATAAAAAAGATTAAGTCATATAAATAAGAGACAAATGAAAAACAAATCAATTATTCTTGTTAAAGGAACAGATCCAGATACATTTTAGCAAATAAAACTGTTTAATTTTGTGTGAAAGACTCTCAGAAACATTTACCCTTGTCCCATGCCGTTATCTGCATCCCTGCGATAATTTTATGAAGCAGTACAAACTTTGAGTTTCCATGTGTACTTAGAAATAAGGCCCCAAATTTCATGTTCAGTGACTGGATAACTATGTCCATATACTTTCTGAAGCTATAGTAGTAAATGATTGTCATGATTGGACAATGAAATTCTATTACAGAAGCCCATTATTATCCAGAAACTTTCAAAACAAGTGTGGCGGAGATGCATTTTAAAAAAGTCTATATTCCTTGATTTCAAATTTTCCTGTGAATTCAATTAATTACCATGATTTTCACAAATAAATATCATTGAGCAATCCAGACATTATACAATGCATTTAATAAAATATAAAAAAAAAATACAACATATCCATTTAAACAAATCCAATAGAGTATTTCAATGATAATTTTAATTTCAAACACACACCCACAAACAAATCCACTGACTCCAAAATGTTCTACATGTATATTTGTTCATTTCTGAAAATGTTATATCATATTCACAGACACAGAATCCACTTGTCCTAGAAACATTTGGGGTGTCCTTTCAACTATTTATTTAAATTCACCTGCATTTCATTTATTTCATTATATCCCATGTCCCTTTATCACACACAATAATTATAATTTATATACTGATCATAGCTGTCATTATTCCCTAAAATTACTCCTTCAAAAAAGTATTCAGCATATTTTAACCACAAGAATACAATATAAATACATGGAGTCTGTATGTGTAATTAACTTCCAAATATGAATTAAAAATCTAAAAAAGACCTTTGATGAACTACGCCCTTGCTCCACTTAAACTCAGCAACCATGTCAGGTCATCAATATATTCTGGAGATCTATTTTTACTGGTAAACACCAGTAAAAGAGTATAAACAATAGTTACTTAAAGATGCAATATGTAAAAGTTATATAAAGAGCAGGTCGTTCTCGCTATAACTGATAGTGAAAAATAAATTTATGGAAAATATCAGTCAAATTACATTATTCTGAGCAAAGTTATGAATGTCTGAAGTTTTGACAAGAATAGCATAGTCATGGATTGTTGTTGCTACGATAATAAACAAAGTCTTGATTTCCCATTTTTTCATTAACCGATTGACTCTAATCCAATTAATATCCAAGTCACCCAATGGTGTAGAGAGTTTCTTATATGAATAAATTTCTAAATAATAACTTAAATAACATTTGAAAAACCTTCAATATGATGATTTAGCAATTACATCTTTAAGGGCATGAAAATGAAACAATATACTGATCTAGCTTATGTTAAAAGTTATGGAATGTCATGGATCATTGATGCTAAAAGATACATTCAATGTGCAATATAAAAAAAGAATGGTGACATAGCCTTTTAAAATAATAGAGCTTTAAAACTAGAATTTACTGATCTTGAAGTTCTAAATTAACAAAACTTCCCTTTCTGTTCAATAAAATCGAATCCTCTCCTAAAATAGAGCATAATTCTTGAAGTCTTTTATGCATTTTAGGAACTCCTGTAAGCTGTGTTTCTAACTGTTGCTTCTCTTCATTTAAAGATAAGCGGGTGCTGGAATCAAGTTGTTCCATTCTCCATCCACCCTCCCCATCAAACTGTAGTAAATGAGTGTGAAACTTCCTGCAATGTAATAAATATATTGTCTATAAATCAGTATTTAATAAAGTTACATACAAATATTTACTCATGTGTCCATGAAATATATCCTTTATAAGCACAAGCACACAGACGGAGATTTAAAATCTTGGTTGTCAAGCCTTTACTTATAACAGAAAAGTTTGAAACAAACTGCCTCACTATATTTTCTTCTAAATTGATGTTTTATGTTACCGGTATATCTATATTGAAGTAATAGTAATAATTAAAATTTTCTCAAAGCTTAAATCTATTGTAGTACAGTACTTACCATAAAGAAGGTCTGTGTGTGATTGTTAGTAAAGTAATTCCTGAATCTTTAGCTGTTTGATATATTTTACTTTCAACATCTATAGAAACAGCACTAGTACATTCATCTAGTAATGCAAACTGTGGTCTATAGGAAAAGATTTTTAAAAAATTCATTACGTCAACGGTAAATAAAATTGTGGTTAATAGTAATCAGCCATTTTATTATCTGCATTATCATCATTTGCAGTATGTGAAAATATGACAAAAAGATCAAACAACTTGACAGTTAAGAAACTATATCATAGCAAATTATGTGACTGTTTTTAATCCAGGACAGTCATATTATTGTGTTTGGTGCAAGTCAAAATTGGTAAAGGTACTACACATATAAATATTAATCAAAACATGATTTTAATATTCTAACCTGTGATAAAATATTCTAGCCATTCCCATTCGTTGTTTCTCCCCTCCAGATAATACATCTTTCCAATCACTTTCAACATCCCATCCTATATTACAACATTAAACAAAAAAAATAATTTCAGGTTCTTTGAAGAAATTTTCATTCTATATTAGCTCCTGGTCACATTTTATAGAAGGTAGTAAAGATTGTAGCAAAAACTACAAATATGTTAAATTAATTACCATCCATATTATGTTTATTTGAAGCATTCTTTTTCCTTTAATTACAAAAGGTATAAAACACATATTTTTTACAGCAATTTGTAATGCACAGCACATGGTTGAATACTTCTTCCTTGGAAATCACTTTAGTATGAGCATATTAAATATAATCATTCAGGAAAATAATATTAAATGGTATCAACAAGAAGTTAACAGTGAGGCTGATGTCCATCAACGCAATCCCAAAATAATTGGTCACACATATTATTTAATTGCACTTTGATCTTTTTAAAAAGTATAGAGGAATCAAACTGATTATCTATACGTAGTCTAAGCAGAAAATGTTCACGATCGAACTCAGTCAAGATTTTGCAGTACCTGGTAGTGAAACTCTTCACTAAGTTTCATCACTCACCAAGTTAGACTTAAAGTTATCTTGTTCCAAAGCATCGATCAATGAAATTGCTCAGCTCTGCTTAGCTTTAGTGGAAAATGTTAATCATTGAACTCAGTCAACAAGACATTCACCTAATGAAATCTAAACCAAGTTTAAACATTCTACTTCAATTAAAAGCAGAGTTGTGTTCCAAAGTCTTGACCAGTCGTCAAATTGCTTATCGTTCCTTAGCCTAAGCAGAAAATTTCATAACTCTCACCCAATGTAAACCAAAGTTATCAAGCTCCAAAGTTATCGAGCTTCATGTCTCAACCAATAAAATTGCTTATCGCTTCGCTTAACTTGAGCTGAAAATGCTCATTATCGAACTTAGTCAAGGTATTGATGTAATGAAACTATACACCAAGTTTCATCACTCTCACTTAAAGGAGCTAAGTCTCTAACTCAATATTTTACATAATTTTCGAAATCAAAAAGACAAATTAGAATTTAATATTGATCACTTTCTATCAATATTGATGTTGTTATCTTGCTGTGAAACTATAGGATCCTAATATCCAATATTTAAGACATAATTAACATTTTATAATCAGTACACAAGTTGTGTACCTTATGGTTTTGGGTGCCATTTTCTAAAGAACAAATAAAAACATATCCTACAACACAACATGTCCCAAAGCATCAACCAATCAAATTGCTTATTTCTGCTTAGCCTAAGCAGAAAATGCTTATCTTCGAAACTCCTACAAGGCAATTGCCTAATAAACGCCTATACCAAGTTTGAACATTTTAGCTTTATTAGAATGAGAGTTATTGTGTCCCAAAAAGTGTGACAAATGACCTTCAGTACATTTAATACATTTTCATTTCAACCAATTTGTATTACACTGTATATTTCTACTGAAAATATGAATCTTACCGCCTTCTCTACTGACAATATGTTTTAAATGGACTATATCTAGTATGTTTCCTAAATCTGAATCTACAAATCCTTTCTTCATCATATCATCAGGTGTATCAGGATAAATAACTTGATCTCTTAATGTACCTATTGACATGTACGGACTGGAAATAACAAAAATATTGCAAATTCTTTTTAACATGCTATACATTGAAACCTATTGGGCTCATTATTTTCAATCTAATTAATGGTTTGAGTGTCCATGTGATCTAATGTATGCCATTTTGATTGTAAGGTTTTTTTATCGATGCAATTGTTGGGAGTTTGATTTCCATACTTGTGCTTGATAAGGAGTAAGATTGCCTGCCTAACCTTGCGAATTTTCTTTAGGACCTCAGGAGAAATCATAGTCCTAAAATTGCCTACTTTGAGTTGAGTAGGTATTAAAACTTAATCTATATATTGTGTCCTATTGTGATCTTAAAACTCATCAGTATATAAGATACAGTTTAGATTAGACTTTAGACATCAGTATATAAGATACAGTTTAGATTAGACTTTAAAATCACGTCAGTCAGATATTCTATAATATACTCAGTACAAAGTTTACTGACTGGCTGATAATAAATCACTGAGTAACATTACAATGATAATACATTTACCTGAATTGTTTTTACTGATTTTTAATACAAAGTTAACCAATACATACCGTTGTGGAATATAGAAGAGAGATGAAAGTGGTGGTTTATAGAGTTTACCAGCATAAACTGGCCATAATCCACTTAGTATACGAAATAAGGATGATTTACCACAGCCATTAGGACCTGTTATTAATAAATGCATACCTGGTTCCATCTGTAATAATATATTTATTTATGTTTATACATACGTTGACAGGTAACATGGCCATCAGCAGCTTATAATCAGATATCTGAGTTGTTTATAAAGACTGTCACAAAATTAATGTTTTGGTGTTCTGAATTTTCATTTATAACTCTAAATATAATCAACGGGTGGTTCTGAATTTTGAGAGTTTATTCTTAATTACAGGCTCTGACAAGGATAATAACTCTGGAAGTAATTTGTTTTTCTAACTTGCTGATAGATGAACACGATTGAAATTTGGATTCATGCACAAATTGCAGAGTTATTGCCCTTTAGTCACTGTTCTGGCAAGCGTTCTTGTCTGTAACAAGGATGAACACTGTCGATATTAACCTTTTCATCTTGTCATTATCTGAGGCCTGGTCACAGGGTCATAACACGTCATAAATTGTCCTAAAACAGCAGAAACAGGAGACCACAAATGACCTATAGTAATTTTTACATGTAGCCTGGTCACTAGGTCATCCATCAAACATTCTGTATGACACAATCATATAGAATAGCCTTTAATAGAAATTGGCAAGTTTGAAAAAACAAGTGGTTGCAATGCAAGATATGCCCAAATTTTGCAGCTTAAAAAGCATACACTAAGCAGCCATAATCCAGGATGTTACTGTCTGATGTGCGTCAATATCAAAAGGAAACGAGATATTTGAGATATAATCATACATTTCAAGTTTCATCAAAATCGGTTAAAATTGTGACCTCTAGAATCTCCACAAGCTAATGACACAATTTTTCGTACTATCAAGGGAGAATCTCCACAAGCTAATGACACAATTTTTCGTACAATCAAGGGCAATAATTAAGGAATTTACGATCTGATATGTGTAATTATCGAAAGGAACCAAGATCTTTGGGTTATAAACATGTATTTCAAGCTTCATCAAAATCAGATCAAAATTGTGACCTCTGATATACCATACTTTTACACTATTTGCATATGAGGGGTGGCCATTTTGGTCCGATTTTCACGAAATTCGAACTCAAGCATCATTACAGTGTAACGGTAATATATATACGAACGTTTTTTTAAATCGAATATTAATTGTGACCGGACCACAAGCTAAAAACGCGATTTTTTTTGTCCAATCAGGGGCCATAATTCAGGAAGTTATGATCCGATATGCGCAAATATCGAAAAGAACCAAGATCTTTGGGTTATAAACATGCAATTCAAGTTTCATCAAAATCAGATGAAAATTGTGACCTCTAGAGTGTCCACAAGCTAAAAACATGATTTTTCGTACAATCAGGGGCCATAATCCATGAAGTTATGGTCTGATATATACCAATATATATCAAGATCTTTGAGAGATAGACCTATATTTTAAGTTTCGTCAAAATTGAATAAAAATTGTGACCTGTAGAGTGTCCACAAACAAATTGTGGACGGACAGACGTCAGGAAGGACAGGGGTGACGACACTATATGTCCACATGAAAATGGGCACTGTCATTTTTCCAACATTTCTCCTCTGTTTGAGCATGGTTATAAACTGTATTGCTGGTGTGACAATTTGGGACCAGAAAACACGTATCCAACGACAGGATTAAAAGTTTGCATTTTTTTTATGAATTTTTATGAATAGCTCACGGGATATAAATGCCATATTGGTAAATGTTACCGGGGAAAAGTTTGGTAGACTTCATGATGCTGCCTGCAGGCTGGAGTCCAGGCATGAAACTATTCAACCGTTTTTTCGGACAACTTGTTTCATTATGTAGAGCAATCGTTGTGAAACTATTTTGATTTGACAGTTTTGAAGTATTTTTGTTCTGTTGTGCAAGATCTTTTTCGACATTCCAAAGGAAATGTACGGTGCTAAGACCACCTTAAGATAAGTTTTAAATGTTCCTATTATTAATTAGAACAGGTTTCGCTTTAGTTTTTATATTTTATGCTGACATTTTATTGTTTTAAATCTTTCTAGTGCAAAAACAGAAAATTTGACCTTCTGACCTCTGGGGTCACAAAAAACAAATGTGAATTTAACAAGGTTACATTTTTATTGAAAGGGTGATTACTTTTGATCATTTTCAGCATGTTTTCATGATACAAGAATGGCTGCACTTTTACTTTCAGTGGAAATGACCTTGTTTGACCTTTGACCCTGAATATCTCGAAAACGCCCCAACAGCGGACTGATTACCACTCGGCATCATATTCTACGCAAAATTTTACTCCAGAAAAGTTGGGTCTGGTATGTGCCCATTTGATGGACCCCCCCACCCCCACCCCACTGGGACTCCAGCCAGACTAATATTTTTAGAGATACTAAGAACTTTATACTGTGTTAAACATCATCCTGAAGCTGTATCTTTAAAATGTACAGAGGTGACAAAACTTGATAAAAGAGATTAAACTCAGCATAAGAATTAATAAAATTAAATTTGTGGTTAAATAATACATGCATCCCAAGACACCACATGTACAGTCACACCCACAATATCTTACCTTTAAGGAAAGACTAGACACTATAACATCACCATTAGGTGTAATAATAGGAAGATCTTCTATATAAATAGTAGAATCTTTATCAACTACTTCACCTGTAATAGGGATTAACACCCAAATCAACGCTACAATAATTGAGTGGAAACAAAACTTTTTTATAATCCAGACAGCCATTCACTCACATTCATGTTAGTTACACATCATGAAGGGAAAAAAGGTTTTATTGTACTCAAATACAATAAATTATATAACCATGGACCGTGTATATGATGTAACCTACTGATTCATTATTTCTTTATCACACTCACATCGGAATAGTATTCCCTATACGATATTATAAAATAATTGAGAGATGGAAATTTCCTTTCCTTGTCCATGTATGTAATTTACACCACTTGCCTTATGAAATATTCCACAATTCTGAATACAAAAGTTTGTGCTTCGAAGTTTGACCGAGTGTAATTCTTTAATTGTTTGAAATAATTTTGACAAATGAAAATGGTGTCCAAATCTGTTATGGTACCTTTAAATTAAATCAACTCTTACAACTCATCCAAATGAGCATGCACTGGGTTATAATCATTAGTGAATATTCTCCAATCGATAATGTATGAGGTAATATGGACTCTCCAATCAAAAATGCATGCAGCAATATGGATTAGAAAATAGGGATCTAGTTATAGATTGTTAACAAGAGTCAATGTGCATGTCAAATAGCAAGCTGAATACTCATAGTTAAAAAGCTATGTTTAATTGTCTTTGTTCTTTTAGTTATGATTCAATTAAATCTTGAAACATTCAAAAGAAAAATTGACAGTTAGATGAGATGAAAACCAACATTTCATGTGGGAGTATTTTGTACATCTATCCATTCACAATTCTTATAAAAACACAACAGATTAGAGTTTTTGTGATTTTTTTGTTGTTGTTGTTGCTGGAATTGTTCTATTGACAATTTCAGAGTAGCCCATAAATATAAGTTTTCATTATTACCTCTTTTTTCAAGTTGTCCATCTACATGATCAAGGTTTTTAGACTTAGGTTTAGTTACCAGCTGACGTGAATAATGCCCATTGTTAATATCTTCAAACACTTTAAACATTTCTGAAACTCTTGAGGTATATCCGGCTAACTCTGTTATCTAAATATATAATTATAATAACAAAATGCAGCAATCTGTCAACCAAACCTAACCCTTGTTTACGGTATTACTGTGTGTTAGTGGTGGATAGATTATGGTATTTAATAGCACAGATGACACATTGGTCACATTGGTACTTACATGTATCAGGTAAATATGGTACTTAAACTTTTCAATTAAATATTATATAATACAGATTTTTATTGATCAGATAAATGAAATAGTAAGAGTTTCTTTCCAGTGCAGTAGTCCACTTGCTAAATGTTTAATATTATATATAACCAACCTCTTTATAAGATGAAATCATTCTTTCTATAGCATCAGCTGAATTAATGAGAAGATTCCTAGCTGTTGTAAAAGCTCTAGTTCTTTCACTCACTCCACCATCCTCATCCTCATCTACTAAAGTTCCTGCATTTTCAAAACATATATAATCATTCATACATATATATTATATATATCAGCGATGCTATTTCATAATTTTGTTTCATTCTCTGACAATTTACAAGAACTTAAATATATTATCTTAATATCCATTTCTTCTACTTCATCCTGCTCCTGTTTCTTCTGCATCTGTTATTCATCCATGTTAGTTTCTGCAACAAATCTCGTTCTTGGAAATTTTATCTGTTCTATAACAAAGGTAACAAACGATTGCCATGTAAGATATGCCCACATTTTGCAAGAGATGGACAGAGAACAAGCTAAACAAGCCAACAGTGAGGTTGATGTCCCCCGCCGAAATCCCCAAATAAATAGATGACACATATTAAAAGTATCGAGCAATCAAACTGATTAATTAATTGCACATCTATTTTTTTTCAAAAGTATCAAGCAATCAAACTGATTATCAACTATACACTAAGTTTCATCACTCTCTATCAGATAGAATCAAAGTTATCTTGTCCCAAAGCATCGACCAAAGAAAATTGCTTATCTCTGCTTAGCTTTAGCTCGATATGTTAATCATTGAACTCAGTCAAGACGAACATCTACATCAAGTTTAAACATTCTACCTCAATTAAAAGGAGAGTTGTTATGTTCCAAAGTCTTGACCAATCAAAATGCTTATTGCTCCTTAGCCTAAGCAGACAATTCTCATCATTGAACTTAGTCAAGGTATTGATGTAATGAAACTATACACCAAGTTTCATAACTCTCACTTAATTAGAACTAAAGTTATCGTGTCCCAAAGCATCAACCAATCAAATTGCTTATCTCTACTTACCCTAAGCAGAAAATGCTCATCTTCACACTCCATCAAGGCATTGACCTAATAAACACCTACACCAAGTTTGAACATTTTAGCTCAATTAGAATGAGAGTTATTGTGTTCCAAAGTCTCGGCCAATCAAATTGCTTATCGCTCTGCTTACCCTGAGCAGAAAATGCTCATTATCGAACTTAGTCAAGGTATTGATGTAATGAAACTATACAAAAAGTTTCATCACTCTCACTTAATTAGAACTAAAGTTACCGTGTCCCAAAGCATCAACCAATCAAATTGCTTATCTCTGCTTACCCTAAGCAGAAAATACTCATCTTCGAACTCCATCAAGGCATTGATCTAATAAACACCTACACCAAGTTTGAACATTCTAGGTCAATTAGAAGGAGAGTTATTGTGTCCCAAAAAGTGTGACAAACAGACAGACGGATGGACAGACAGTCAGACAGACGGACGAACCGGGGGACAAAAAAAACTAGAGCATCGCTATCGCTGCAGAACACGTTCACATTCCTGCTTTGACTAATATGGTACTTTTTAAAATGAAGAGAATGTAATGTGACAAGAGGTAAAGTTGGCTAGGCGTTGGGTTGTTTTGTCAAATATTAACAAAACAGTAGGTGTGACACCACCCCAAGGGGTCAGGTCATGCACCAAAATAAATAGTTGCTGTCTTTACGGTATAAGGAATAAATATGCAAAGGAATAAATATGCAATGAAACATACAACCCAATTATCAAAACCTATAGAATATAAAGAAAGAACTCTACAATCATGGAACAAAATAAAATCAGAAAGAGGTGTATGGTTTTACAGATATTACAACATTTCAGTACACCTTAATTTCTAAGAAGATAGGTTGCCAGGCAACGAAACATACGCCCACAGCAGCTAAATCCTCCGAGCGGTTGACAAGGTTTAACGCATATTTATTCTTTTGTAGGTAATTGGGGGCATTTACAAGACAATTTCATACAGATCAGATTATAATTTTTGTCTTTTGAGGGTTCACACGGTTCTACAAACTGAAACAAGGGCCTTAACTCTGGAAGTAATTTACAGAAAATTTTGAAATTTGACAGGCTTTTTCGTTTTACTAATTTAAATAATACATTTAAATTTCATACAGATCGGCAGATAAGGTGCAAAAAAGTGAAACAAGGGCCAGAACTCTTGAAGTAATAAACGGAAATTGCTGAAATTCAATAGGATTCTTCTTTTTACTAATTTAAATGACACATATAAATTTCATACAGATCGGCAGATAACTTTTGATGTTATAGCGTTCACAAGGTGCAACAAAGCGAAACAAGGGTCATAACTCTAGAAGTAATTAAGGGATTTTGAAAATCAAAAGGCTTCTTCGTTTCACTAATTCAAATAATGCATAAAAATTTCACAAAGATCGGGTGATAACTGTTGCCGTTAGAGCATTCACAATGTTCAATAACGTGCATCAAAGACCATAACTCTAGACGTAATAAACGGAAATTGCTGAAATTCAATAGGCTTCTTTGTTTCACTAATCTAAATAATGCATAAAAATTTCGCAAAGATCGGATGATAACTTTTGGCATTAGAGCATTCACAAGGTCCAACAAAGTGAAACAAGGGCCATAACTCAAGACGTAAAAAACGGAAATTATTAAATTAAATCTCACTAATCTAAACAACATATATCAATTTCAAAACGATCGGATCATAACTTTTGGCGTTGGAGCGTTCACAAGAAATTGTGGACGATGGACAGACCAACAGACGGACTGGGGCGATGGCAATATACGTCCACATTTCAATGTGGGCGTATAAAAATTGGGTTAGTAGGAACAACCCCTAATCCCAAATACAGAATAAAGATGATTCTAACCTGAAGAAGCAAGCAAAATCCACTCAGTTAGCTAATGAGCAATTCAAGGCCCAAGGTGAAATCATGAAAATAAACGAAGGGAAATATAAACAGAAATATGAAAATATTGATGTAGACAAGCGTAAAACTATACAAATGGATGTATCAGAGGAGATTAATAACCAAACGAAAGAAATGTGGGTTAATGAATGTCGTCTACAGTACAAATGGAAACTAAAACCCAACATGACTGGTCAGAAAAACAAATATGGTTGAAAAATTACAAGCCAAAAATGGTTCAGACATTTTCAAAGGTTTTCAAAGGTTTTCAAAATTATAATGATCGCCTACACCAAGTTTGAACATTCTACATGAGTTAGAATGAGAGTTATTGTGTTTCAAAGTCTTGACCAATCAAATTGCTTATCGCTTTGCTTACCCTCAGCAGAAAAGTTACAATGTTTCTTGTCCCAAAGCATGAACGAATCAAATTGCTTATCTCTCTTACCATTAGCCTTAGCAGAAAATTCTCATTTTTGAACTCCATCAAGCCTCAAGGCATTCACCTAATAAAGACCTACACCAAGTGTGAACATTGTTGCTCAATTAGAAGGAGAGTTATTGTGTCCCAATGTGTCCCACTCTTACTTAATTAGAACTAAAGTTATCGTGTCCCAAAAAGCATCAATCAATCAAATTGCTTATCTCTGCTTACCCTAAGCAGAAAAATGCTTAGGGTAACTCCATCAAGGCATTGACCTAATAAACACCTACACCAAGTTTGAACATTCTAGCTCATTAGGAGAGTTATTGTGTCCCAAAAAATGAGACGGACAGACAGACAGGCGGACAGACAGACCCATTTTAATAACCCCCTGCTTTCTTCGAAAGGCGTGGGACAATAATCATAGAATCATTTGTTTATACAGGTATATGGTATTGTTTTATAAACACAGGCAGGGGACAATTATGACTGGTTAACAGTCCGGTCAACAACCAATACATTACAGAGTAACAAGTCAATCGAGATTAACCAGAGCGCTATTATGTTAACATAATAGTATATAATGACAATCCCGGTAACATTACGTCATAACGCGCAAAATATATTATGCTCAATTAAACAGTGCATAGGAAAATAGGGCAGAAATAATAATTGTGTGACAAACGAGGCTATTCAAAATAGCTACAAACGTTAACATTGTATAATCACCACGCATGGAATTTCTTTATCATCTTTTTTTGGACTGCAAAGCAGACGAACAATATTTTCACCATCTTCATGTTATGTAGCCTATTGTGTTTCAACAAACTGGATAGAAATACGGCTTCCAACAGTTTTTTTGACTTGTGCTTTTTTGATAAAATAATAATATTTCATGGATTTTGTTACTTGAATCAGTAGGCCTACTAACAAACCCTGAGATTCCATTCCCAAGCTGTCAGTCGTGGAAATTTGGATTAAAATTATGACCTCTAGAGAGTCCACAAACTTGATATACCATAATTTTACACTATTTTGTCCATTTCAAGTTTCATCAAAATCAGATGAAAATTGTGACCTCTAGAGTGTCCACAAGCTAAAAACATGATTTTTCGTACAATCAGGGGCCATAATCCATGAAGTTATGGCCCGGACGAACGGACGTCCGGACAGAGGCAATGACAATATGCGTCCACATGAAAATGTGGGCATATAAAAATGTTACATATTTAATATGTCCAGGTTGCAATGAAAGTTATATCGTCAAAACTGAATCACAACTCAACATAAGGATGAACCTACACTTGTCATTCCCAAAAAGAGAATGATTCCACTAAGTGACCATGTGGAATGGGAAAATTTAGGGTTTTCCCCTTATTTAAACTCAACTGGTCGGACAATAATTTGCTAGAAAATAAAGAACAGCAATTTATTAATAGGTATCACCTAAACTTAAATACTGCATAATTTTATATGATTTGATGCTCTAAAATATTTATATTTGATATTATTATTGTCATGCCTATGTATGACTCCCCATGACATAATGAGTCACAATGAGGAAATTTTGAAAATTGAGTTATTGTTATTGTCTCCAACTCATTTCCTTCAATTTGATGTATAGTTTGTTTGAATCGGACAAAAATTGACTGAGCTGTGTCCATTTGAAGCTACCCAACTCACAAAAGTAAGTTTTATGAAAAAGCAAGTCAAAGATTTGGTATGTTCCAAAAGAAAATCCCATAGCAACCAGGCCATTATTTGTCGCTGAATATATCTTTCCATGGTTTTCAGGGGTGCTGAAGACGAAAATCGTAGTAAAAATTTGATCCGGCGATTTAACCCTGTTATT